TTTGACTGATGGAAACATTGAAACTACTAGCTGAGGGCTTACAAATGTCAAAAGAGACTGGTTAATTACTGTTGTTTCTGGAGTTCAAGTGAGAAGTTTCGAGCAATGTAGATACACCTTGTCAGGTGTGAAGCTGTTACCCACCAAAAACAATAGAAGATGATAGCGCAGTACCGTGAATTTATTCAAGTTCGACATTGACACTGTTGGACACTGACTCGGTGGTATACAGATTAGGCATTTGCCCGCAAGCTTGAATGTAGTGTGTTCGATTCTCACGTGTTTGTGCAAGGATGCGCACTGTCGAGGAGTTCCATATTATAACGGAATGGCTGTTCAGTGCTCCCAGGTTTTCAGTGGTGGTTTGACATTGATAGTGTGTAATTTCCATGATGCTCAAAACTGGTTGATATTTACTGGTGCGCTGCTTGGAATAACAGCGTGGACGGAAGTAATTGATCATTGAATAGATGTAACAAATACCTTGTTCATCTAGTCATCAGTACTAACCGAATCCCACCGGCCGAGTTATACTGTGGTCAATAGTTATAGTTACTGGGCGACAAGCATACTATATTTGGATTTTAAATGGTTCGAGATAATCACTGAAATGCCCAGAAACTATGTTCTATGTTAGTTGGTACTTATTACGTACTTACTTACTGACGCCTGTTACTCCTCGTGGAGCAGCATTGGCTGCCCAACAAGATACGGAATTGAACTCTATCCTGAGCAACTCCTTTCAGTAGTTTCCAGTTGCTGTTCATCCTTTTGATGCCTGCTTCCAATTCTCTGTACAGTGTGTTCTTTGGACTTCCTCTTTTCCATTTCCCTTCAGAATTCCAAGTTAGCGCTCGCATCGTGATCCAGGTTGGTGATTTTTGCAACATCTCTCCATAATTTCATCTTCAGATGGAAGAAGATTTGTTCTCCTTCTTAGTAGGTTGTTGCTGATGTTATCCGATCAAAGGACATTCAGTATCTTCAGTAGACAACTATTTAGAAATTACTGTACACATTTGATGATGGTTGTAGTAGTTCTCCAAGTTTCAGATTCGCACAATAGAACTCAATCAATTGACATTCGTATTGCAAATTCTCAATTTGATGTTTTGAGTTGTAAATGTTCTTCAGTTGTGGGTATGCTGAGCTTGTCTCACAAATTCGGGTATTCACATCTGCGTCCGATTCACATTGTTCATCGATGACGCTCCTCAAATATGTAGAAGTTGTGACCTCTTCTACAGTTTTTCCATCAAGCGTGATTGGGTTGGTAATTTCTGTTTTGTATTTGAGGGTCATGCATTTTCCTTTGTGTATGTTGAGGCAAACTGATTAAAAGGCTGTCACTACACCAGTTATCTTCATCTGCATTTGTTCGTGTGTATGTAATTGAAGAGTTAGATTATGTGAGAATTTCAAATCACCTAGTTGCATGCAAGCTGTTGATTGTATTCCATGCTTCCCCTCAGATATCGAGGTCTCCATAATTCATTCGATCACGAGAAGAAATAGGAAGGGTGAGAGTAAGCAGCCTCGTTTGACACCGACCCTCACAAAAAATACATCTGTTAGCTGCCCTTCATGCACTACTTTGCACTGTAGTCCATCGTACGAATTCCGGGTTATTTTGACGATCTTTTTAGCAAAACCATATTGTCGAAGAATGTCCCATGAGGTTTTCCGGTCCTGCTGATATCCCACTATTGATATGTCTGATGTTCATTCTGATTTCTTCGATAATTGGTGAAATGACATCTATAAGGAGATCTGTGTGTGTTGTTTAGATATCCGGTTAGTTTAGTGAGGCAAATCTGTTCAAGAATTCCTCAGGGTTTTCTACCCACCTGTTCCTCTGGTCCTGAATCTCAGTGATTGGCTTACTTTCTAATTTCTCGACTGGTTGGTCCTCATCAGTGAGCAAATTCAAATTCTTTGTGAATTAGCCGGCTTTCTAAAATTTCATGTACTCAAAGGCAAATATCACAAAAACTAGATGTTCTAGACCATATGCTACCGATATATATCATAATTAAAATGACATAAGCCCCCTAATATGTATGAACAAACTAATTTTCATTGAACAGCGATACATATGGTGTTTCAATACTTCATAATTTATACCCTGAGGTCAAAGTGAACGTATGAAATTAATGAAATCGTGGAAATTGCGAGCGGAATAAATTGGACTACCGATTCATTCGAATATAAAGCATGCAAAATAGAAACAGATTTGATTGAGTTGTTATAAGATAGAGGATATTATAAACTCGAGATTACTGAGTAGTTCTTTTATTCTTGCTTGGGATTTATTAAAATTTCGGGCTCATAACTAGTCACTGATTCTTTGTAAGACTTCAGATAATCAGTCGCGAAACTAGTCATTAATGTCCACATGAATGTCACTTAGACGTATACTATGCAGACGAATGAACTGTGGAAATTACTTTTGTCAAACGCTCAGCTCAAAAACACGAAACTACTCTACACAACTTTTTTTCATTGGGATATTTAACTTAAGCAAGGACAACCAGTAAACAACGTAATTGATTATGATCAGAGTTGGATGGTCGCTAGAAATGGAATCTAGGACTCGTCAGTTGGATTTACCTTCAATACAGAGTTGATGTTCGCTTCGGAACTCGAACCCGGTAGCGTTCTCTTCAAAAACAATGGCGTTATTCACTTAGCTACTGAGTCCAGATAGCCACTAGCTTGTGTGATGGTGTGAAATTTAATTCCTTTATATCGACTGTTCGAATATTTACATTGTTTAAAAATTCATTCGATCAGTCATTGCATAGATTGTTTCAGTATCATTCATAGTCTCAAGCATCCCGGTCGTAAACAAACAATGGGAAGATTCAAACAACCAATACAAATGAATTCATATAGGTGATTGTTTAAAACAAAATGTACATACTTTATATCATATTAGTAAAGATTAACAATAAACAGCAATAAATATAGATGAACTATTTTTAAAAAATGTTCCAATGTGTAATGAATCCGAAAATGATTATTATGCGGTTGTGGAGATTATCAAGTTTTTGATTAAGATCATAAACGGATTGAAGCTAGACCATCATGGGAAACCTGGGAGCACTGAACGGCCGTTTCACCCTATTGTGGGACTCCTCAGTAGTGCGTATACATAATCCTGCTCGCAGGATTCGAACCTAGGGCCTTCGGTTCTGATTCCTAACCAATGGTGTACATGGGCTCTAGTATCCTAAGGGAACAAATAACGTATGAACCTATTGTTGGTCACCGGCTACCATAGGACTGCATCTTCTGACACTGCTTCATTGCCTTGTGGATCAAACCTTCAGGTCAAAGGCCCCGGCTGTGCTCCCCTAAGAAAAACACCTACTGCACCCGGACAGTATTCCAGACCTCCCACAAATTAATAATAACTGCTACTGGTCTCATTTTTATTGTGTAGCACATATGTATTTGGTATTGTCTTGTACCAATGGTTATGTGTTCAACTAATTAAATAAATAATCTACCTTACAATCACAAATTAAAAGGGTATCGTATGTGAAACTTTTAAATTTTGAAGTTAACACTATTAAAGAGTTGAGACTGATTGGTCAATATGTCCAACTATAATCAGTTCATGATTAAGTGTGACAGTCATTTAATACAATGACGATTGATCTTCATAAGTCATATCTCCCCTTACAACTTCTTTTTCCATAAACGAAAACAAAAACCGTTTAGTTTCAAAAACTCTTCCAATTATCTTCCAAAACTTTTGAAATTTTTAGAAAAACAAGTTCATAGAAAACGAACTTTAAACAAAACAAATAAATATGCCTATTTAAATGAATATCATGAATGGATCACCATTGAAAAACATAGAGGCATTACATAACCATTTGATCCAAGTCTAAGCCTCTACATTCAAGATCGTAGATGTACACTGTTAAAGAATTCTATACTAGAATGAAAACCGGTCTTCTAGTACTTCAATGTTTTCAATGATAATCCAACACTGGTCTATTTATGACATCAATCTAAACTTAACAATACTGATATATATATATATATATATATATATATATATATATATATATATATATATATATTTATCAGATGGGTTTTGTGGATATTATAGTAATTTCAATGGTTACGATCATGAGTCAGTTGAAGCTAGATCACCATGGAAAACCTGAAAGCACTGGACGGCCGTTTCGTCTTACTATGTGACTCCTCATCAGTGCGCATCCAAGACCTCGCCCCTGCAAGTTTTGAACACAAGACCTATCAGTCTCGTGCGCGAACGCTTAACCTTGAAAGCATTGAGCGGGCCGGCATCCAACGGCATTTATGTCTAACTTCAACTAGTCCACGAAATGGAGCAACACATCCATCATTGTCTTCAGTGAGTTACCATCTCACAACAGACCAGGTTGAACTCCACTGGTCACTATTTCTCACTAGAACACCAGAATATACCTCAATTTCGTGGATTAGTTAAAGTTAGACATTAACACCGTTGGATGCCGACCGGCTCAGTGGTCTAGTGGTTAAGTGCTCGCGCTCGAAATCAGTAGGTCCTGTGTTCGAATCGTGCAGGGGCGAGGTCTTGGATGCGCACTGCTGAGGAGTCCCATAGTAGGACAAAACGGCCATCCAATGCTTCCAGGTTTTCCATGGTGATCTAACTTCAACTGACTCATGATCTTAACCTACACTAAATACCGAAAAAATGAATTTTGTGACAAATTCACATATTTAAAACACCCACATATAAATTATTCCAATTTATGAGTATTCAATAAACCAGTTTCTTTGATTGTTTCTATCCTACAAATAAATTGACTGTGTTTGTCGCTTATTACATACTACAGATAATATTACATATAAATATGTATAGATGCACAAACTATACACGCATAATTGGGTATTTCTTATAATAAATAGTGTTATGTAATCTAAGTGAATATGTGATTATTGTAATTTGATTATTGTAATTAACATCCATTATCAAGATGGATATCATTTACAGTTGGTGTATTATCTGGTGTTTATTAAATCTCATTTTAAATGGGAAAAGTGAGTCAATTTAATCATCTGATAATCAATGATTGATGAGACTATAATTTATGGACGAATCAATCAGATTTACGACAACAGGTCTTGTATTTTTGGCGCGAAATTTATTCACCCATTTGGTTAAATGGAATCCTGGTATGATAGTTGATGTTAGTTCGTGATGAAGAACCGTAAATCTTATTCCTAACTCTAACTATCAACTATAAATCATAATCCTTATTCTTCAAACTGCTTTATAACCCTTACTTAGCCCTAGTGAGTAGGTAGACACTCTCAAGGTCATTTTAGCGTCCCCCAAAGGTCGTCCATAAATTATAGTCTAACCCAATTATTTTTTTGTTCTTCTTTTTCTTCTTCTTAATTTCCTTTCACTAAATTGAATACTCTTCAATCAAACTTAATCATGATTGATATTGGAATAACTAAAGAGATGATTAATTAGTTGAATGTTTAGTTAATTAGATAATCATTGGTTTATTTATTTATATAATTCATTTAAGCATATGAACATCGGTACAAGGAGGCACTAAACAGATATGCGCCACACTTTATTATTCAATTTGTATAAGGTCTAGAATACTACTTGGCTGCCCAAACCGTAGCAAGTTGCTTTCTAAGAGGGTCACTCTGTACCTTTGACCCAGAGATCTAGTTTACAAGGCAATGGGACAATGTTAAAAGGTACAGACCCATGGTAGCCGGTGAACAATAATTGGTTCATACGCCATTTGTTCCTTCAGGATCATGGAGTAAATGTGCACCATTGGTTTGGAATCGCGGTTTTCCAAATCTACCAGATTGATTCTCCACATCCACTAGTCCGGTTAAAGCATCGGACATTCTCTTTACATTCTTTTAATTTTGTAAACAACACCGCCGCCACAAGAATTCAGTGAGTAGGACTTCGTTGGTTGTGGTTGTATCCGAGTAGCCATGTGAGAGCGTTTAGAGAGGATGAGCTGAATTTCCCCACCCTCGACCTTACCAGGGTATTTAAGGGCGATCATCACTGATAATCCGTATGATATACATATATATACCAGAGAATTACATAACGACTCGAAGAAAGATAAAACGGACCGAAATTTTAAGAAAATAGTACAACGAAAATGATTATCAGGACTCAGTAACAGAATATTATTTTGAAGAGTCTGTATTCGCTGATGTTAATTATCCAACTTCTTTGGCAATATATATGTATGTATTCTGAGCTTATGGCCATGAAATTGTTATTTTGGTCACAAGGATTTACTAAAGTTAGACCATAGATAGTAGTTAGATTCAAGATGCTTGTTTCATCCTATTTTGGTCTCTTCAGCCAGAGATACTTGTACTCTAATGGTAGTTTTTAAAGAGAAACTCTAACATTGTATCTTTCGCTCAAAATATCAAATAAAATATGGTAAATAATTAACTAAAATTGTTTTCATCATTATTTATAAGTTTAGAACTAGTCAGTTGCATTATGGTGTGTGCTACTGACGTCGACATATATAAGTAGTATGTATCATGGAATCGAAAGTAAAATGCTTGGCCGTAGAAGGTTAAGATCTGAGAAAAGAGAACAAGAACAAAGAATGATTGCACATGAACTATTTACTATAGAGTTCTCAGATTTTACAAAGACGTTCTGTAATTTACGTGTTGAATTACATTCGATTGTCCTTACTTGTATTCTCGTTTACTACAGCATCCTTTTAATATTTTTGATATTATTAAATTCTCTGTTTCCTCAGAGAATTTAATAATATCAAAAATATTAAAAGGATGCTGTAGTAAACGAGAATACAAGTAAGGAATTCCGCCTGGAGTCCCTCCGGGGGCTACTGCCGGTCCCAAGCCCGGATAAAGGAGGAGGGTTGGGCATGGGGTTAGCGTCCCCAACCCGTAGAAAACTAACTCGCTAAAAAAACACTAACCAGAAAAAATTATTCAAACCTTTTAAACTCTGCCCTGGGAGTCAGAAGGTCTTCATTCAGAAGAATTATGACGCCTCATGATGAAAGCCGAATTCCTTCGAAGTTACGAGGCCGATGCCCCTTCTGACAACCAGAGCGACCATTTATTTAGGTACATGGAATGTTCGTACAATGTGGGACACCGGAAGAGCCTTCCAGATTGCTGCAGAAATGAGAAGATACAACCTAGAGGTACTTGGGATCAGTGAAACACATTGGACACAAGTTGGACAACAACGACTAACTACAGGAGAGCTCCTGTTATACTCCGGCCATGAAGAAGAAAATGCTCCACATACACAAGGAGTTGCATTGATGCTGTCCAAACGAGCACAAAACGCACTTATAGGATGGGAATCTCATGGACCAAGGATCATCAAAGCCTCCTTCAAAACAAAGAAAGAAGGCATTTCAATGAACATCATCCAATACTTTGCGCCTACCAACGACTACAATGAAGACGCTAAAGATCAATTCTACAATAGGCTGCAGTCAATAGTCGAGAAGTGCCCAACAAAGGACCTGACCATTCTGATGGGAGATTTCAACGCCAAGGTTGGAACGGACAACACTGGATATGAAGACATCATGGGACGACACGGACTGGGAGAAAGAAACGAAAATGGTGAGAGATTTGCAAATCTATGTGCCTTCAATAAGCTGGTCATAGGCGGCACCATATTCCCACATAAACGCATACACAAAACCACATGGACTTCACCGGATCACACCACGCAAAACCAAATCGACCATATTTGCATCAACAAAACGTTCAGGAGGACTATAGAGGACGTGAGAACCAAGAGAGGAGCTGATATAGCATCAGATCATCACTTGCTGGTCGCCAAGATGAAATTGAAACTCAAGAAGCACTGGACAACGGGGCGGACAATATCACAAAAGTTCAATACGGCCTTTCTTCAGGATACTAACAAACTCAACAAATTCAAGATAGTCCTCAGCAACAAGTTCCAAGCCTTTCATGATCTACTCAATGGAGAAGGAACTACTGTGGAGCATTAGAACCGACAAACGTAAATATGTGGAAAATCTAGCACTGATGGCGGAAAAGGCTGCAAGAGAAGGAAACATGAGACAATTGTATGACACGACAAAGAAACTCTCTGGAAATCGCCGCAAACCAGAACGACCAGTGGAAAGCAAGGAAGGCAAGGTAATCACCAACATTGAAGAGCAACAAAACAGGTGGGTAGAACACTTCGAAGATCTCTTGAATCGACCAGCTCCACTGAACCCACCCAACATCGAAGCAGTATCCACGGACCTCCCAATCAATGTTGGCCCACCAACAATTGAAGAAATCAGCAAGAATGTCAAAGCAGCAGGACCGGACAACATCCCAGCAGAGGCACTGAAAGCAGACGTAGCGGCGACTGCAAGGATACTCCACTTTCTCTTCAATAAGATTTGGGATGAGGAACAAGTACCAAAAGACTGGAAAGAAGGACTTCTGATCAAAATACCGAAGAAAGGCGATCTCAGCAAGTGTGATAACTACAGGGGCATCACTCTTCTCTCAATACCGGGAAAAGTCTTCAACAGGGTATTGTTAAACAGGATGAAGGACTGCGTAGACGCCCAACTTCGTGACCAACAGGCAGGATTCCGTAAGGATAGATCGTGTACAGACCAAATCGCAACTCTACGGATAATTGTGGAACAATCAATTGAATGGAATTCATCACTCTACATCAACTTCATTGACTACGAGAAAGCATTTGATAGCGAGAACAGAACAACACTATGGAAGCTTCTTCGACACTACGGCGTGCCTCAGAAGATAGTCAATATCATACAGAGTTCATATGATGGATTACACTGCAAAATCGTGCATGGAGGACAGTTGACAAAGTCGTTCGAAGTGAAGACCGGTGTTATGCAAGGTTGCTTACTCTCACCCTTTCTCTTTCTCCTGGTGATCGACTGGATCATGAAAACGTCAACGTCCGAAGGAAAGCGCGGGATACAATGGACATCTAAGATGCAGTTGGATGATCTAGACTTCGCAGACGATCTGGCCCTTCTATCCCAAACGCAACAACAAATGCAGGAGAAGACGAACAGTGTGGCAGCAGCCTCAGCAGCAATAGGTCTCAATATACACAAACGGAAAAGCAAAATTCTTCGATACAACACAGAATGCACCAACCCAATCACAATTGACGGAGAAGATTTGGAAGATGTAAAAACCTTTACGTATTTGGGCAGCATCATTGATGAACACGGTAGATCTGATGCAGATGTGAAGGCGCGGATCGGAAAAGCAAGAGCAGCATATTTACAACTGAAGAACATCTGGATATCAAAACAACTGTCAACCAACACCAAGGTCAGGATTTTCAATACAAATGTCAAGATAGTTCTACTGTATGGGGCAGAAACCTGTAGAACTACGAAAACCATCATCCAGAAAATACAGGTGCTTATTAACAATTGTCTACGCAAAATACTTCAGATCCATTGGCCGGACACTATTAGCAACAACGTACTGTGGGAGAGAACAAACCAGATCCCAGCGAAGGAAGAAATTAGGAAGAAACGCTGGAAGTGGATGGGACACACATTGAGGAAAGCACCCAACTGCGTCACAAGACAAGCCCTCACATGGAATCCTCAAGGTCAGAGAAAATGAAGAAGACCTGAGAACACATTACGCCGGGAAATGGAGATAGACATGGGAAAAATGAACAAGAATTGGATGGAACTAGTTAAGAAGGCCCAGGACAGAGTGGGTTGGAGAATGCTGGTCGGCGGCCTATGCTCCATTGGGAGTAACAGGCGTAAGTAAGTAAGTAAGTAAATTCTCTGAGATGAGTAGCTGAAGTTTGGAGTTGTCAATGTTTTTTTGAAGAAGATCTTCAATGTTTACTTTTTATGGAAGCAAGTTCTTCTTCAATTAATCTACAAGTTTTTAATTAATTCTTTCTTTAACATGGAAAATTAATTCCATATGAAATTTGAACTAGTCAAGTACCGATTTCGACATGTAATGATGTAAAGTAAAATATTTATCATTACTTACTTACTTACGCCTGTTACTCCCAATGGAGCATAGGCCGCTGACCACACCTGTATTGAAGAGAGATTTTGAATTTGTCTATGATATCAAGATATTACTTTTAGATAAAGTTTTGTTCTTTGAACTGGATGATTTGGTCGTAGATCTTCCATCACTCTTCTGAACTACATCATCAGTACAGACTTTTACCTACACAACTAAATCATCGAGCTCAGAGAACAAAACTTTGTCAAAATCTTCTCCATCATATTTCTCTTAGATCTATTTAGGTTATAGAAGTTATACTGATTGTATATAAGTCTTTATCTATAAATATCACTGTGTATATAGAAAATTAAGATAAAATGTTTGTAAAGAGAACGTTTCAGCAAGTAGAACTCTTACTGTGATGAACGGGAACTAAGATGAGAAAAACGCCAAACTACTAAATCATGCAGTAGATTAGTAAAATATGAAACTTATACAAATACATATTTATGTTCTCCTTTACATACACCATTATTCTTCTAATTCTGTTGTTATTTTGATTTCACATTGATTTCCTGTCTGCTTTCTTTATTATGATCTTCTGCTATCAGGTATTTCACTTTCTATTACGGCTATATGCTACTTAAATCTGTAAGCATAAATAGCCAACACCACAATATTAAGAATTTACCTTTTTTTTTTCTTCTCATTTCAGTTGGTCAAGCGCAAGAAGACAGTAAGTTTTAGTTATGATATTCTATTAAATTTACGGTTTGATTTCTCTGAAACATTTGTAATAATTTCATATATATATAGTTCTCATAAAGTGGCTGAAATATTGTTTCTTATTAGTATGAAATGGCGTAGTAACATGCGTCAGTGATTCCAAATGAAATGTTGACCCGGACAGCTATTCTGATAATCTTACACAACCTAAATCAAAAATTTAAGAAATAAATGATTATTAGTGGAATAATCATGAATGTATTAAATACTACTTTTTCCAGTTAATTTATTGACAGTAGTATTACTAGTTTTGGTGCTACTTACATTTTTATGCCTGTTATCACTTGTGAATGAGTATGAGTCTCTAATCAACTCTGTTGGGAGCTCTGTTTTCCAGCTGTTTTCAGATGTTATTCATCTCTTTAGTATCAGCTTCCAATCCTCAATGGAATGTGTTCTTTGGCATTCCTCTTTCCCGTTTCCTTTCAGAATTCCAAGTAAGCGCTCACATCGTGATCCACTTTATTGATTTTCTCGACGTCTCTCTATAATTTCATCTTCAGAGAGAAATTGAGTTGTTTTCTACATCAGTACGTTGTTGCTGATGTTATCCGATCAAAGGATATTGAGTATCTTGAGTAGACAATTATTTAGAAATTATTGTACACGTTTGATGATGGTTGTAGTAGTTCTTCAAGCTTCAGATCCGCACAATAGAACTCAGTGAATTGGCATTCGTATTGAAAATTCTCAATTTGATGTTGGCTGATATTTGTTTTGAGTTGCAGATGTTCTTCAGTTGCGGGGATGCTGTCCGTGCCTTTCAAATTCGTGCATTCACATCTGCATCCGATCCACATTGTTAATCGATGACGCTACTCAAATATGTGGAAGTTTCTCCATCAAGTGTGATTGGGTTGGTAATCTCTGTTTTGTGTTTGAGGATCTCGGTTTTCTCTTTTGTATGTTAAAGCGAACTGATGCATAGTCTGTCACTATACCAGTTGTCTTCATCTGCATTTGTTCGTGTGTATGGAATAGAAGTGTTAGGTCATGTGAGAATTTCAAATCACCTAGTTGCATGCAAGCTGTTGATTGTATTCCATGTTTCCCCTCAGATGTCAAGGTCTTCACAATCCAGTCAACCACAGCTTTTAAAGTAATTCATCTTTTAAAGTGTTTTCACTGAGATAGGAAAATAAGTGTTTTTGGATAAATATCACAGAATTAACTTATTATGTCTGTGTCGTTTAATACTTTTACTTGAAAAACGAGGAACTATTACAATTCCCACAACTCGAAGTGGAAACACCAAGACTGGTACAAGTGAAGATTTATTAAACAGCAAAACACCACAACAACTCAAATTAAAAATACACTCATCATATATTAATTGTACACTCATCAATGCATTTCAAATACTGAATTTTTATCTAATCGACATCAACTAAAATCTACACAAAACCCCTTCTGATAATAATCGTCATATGCTCACTAGTGACTGGCTTTAAGAGGTATTTCCTGAAGTTCTAGTGAGAAGCCATGACCAGTGGAGTTCAACCGAGTCTGTTGTGAGATAGTAACTCACTGAAGACAATGGTGGATGTGTTGCTCAATTTTGTGGATTAGTTGAAGTTAGACATTAACACTGTTGGACTCCGACAGGATCAGTGGTTTCGAGATTAAGCGTTCACGCACTAGGCTAATAGATCCTGATTTCGAATCTTACGACACGGGATCGTGGTTTATCGATTGGACCAATGATGCATATAACCCGTACGAGCAGTCTAGAGTACTTATCGGTCATTCTTTCTGCCTAGCCCTTCCTGTTAAGTCTAGAACACAAATCCCAGCCTCTGCAATATGAATCATTTATTTCAAGCATACTGGGTTTATACACCAACCAGACAGATCACATCGTACCATAAAATAGGAAACAAATTTGTACAAGATTTAGCCAAATGTGACTGTGAATGTGGGAGATCAGAATTGATAGACTGGGCATAACTTAAGAATGATAAATCGTATAATAATAGTTCATAGATCAAAATACAGCTTATGATAAGAGGGACACAAATATGCATAGTTTACCTACTTAACAATTATACGATAATAATATACGTATAGTATTGGTCCATAAATGGATTCCAACAGTTACCATTCATTATTCTTATCAGGATATAACACTGTCCAATGCTTCTAGGTTTTCCATCGTTGTCTAGCTTCAACTGACAAATGAATCCAACTATAAAATTAATTAAAATCTCCACAAAACTCCTTCTGATGATAATCGATATCTGTTTCCATATGGATATTTCTTTTTAATGAGTTTCAATTGTGATTAATGTCATAGCAACTATATATCAATTATTCTCTTGATAGATGTAAATGATTCAAAGTTCAAACATAGAATGTTGAACGAAAAGATAATAGTTTGGCTAAATCACAACTATTCATTATTGATTACTGTCCAAATTCCAGTTTAAGTAAATCCTTGTTATAGGTCAATCATTTTAACAGAATATTAGATATATGAAATCAGAAAACATGATCCTATTTACAAACTTTAATTTAATATGTAACTTTCTATCGTTTACTTATGAAACGAAGTACGAATTCATGACAAAAAAACACACACATACAAAGATAATTAACTTACTTACATACTGACGCCTGTTATACCTCATAGAGCAGGATAGGCAGTTCATCAGGATTCTCTGTCTAACTCTGTCCTGGACAATCCTATCCAGTTGCTATTCATCCTCTTCACATTTACTTTCAATTTTGTGCGCAGTGTGTTGTTTGATCTTCATCGTTTTTCGTTTCCCATCAGAATTCCAAGTTAGCGCTTGTCTTTTGATGCAGTTTAATGATTTCCTCAATGTGTAGGCTATCGATTTCTAGCATCTTTTTCTAATTACCTCTTCAGTTGGTGTTGTATTTAGTCGTCGTCGATTGTTGTGTCGGAAAATGTGCTGATCACTTATACTAGGAACGAAGGACCCCTGCAATTACCACGATGCGAAGTAAGAACAGTAAGACTGGTATAAGTGAAGATTTATTAGCCCCAAAACACAATGACGACGAACGATGATCAAAATAGTCTCAAATACACTGGTTTATATATTGATTTTACACCCATTTTTGATTAATAATTAGGATTAAATCACATACTCAGTTATAACAAATCACTTATTGAGCATAGTCCATGTCAATGGAATACAAGAATATCGTATATTATACAGAAGAAAATATCATACTGGGAAAACAAATCAAATACTACACTGAATGATCCTCACGTTGAATCAAAACGGATGTTGAATGTTGAATAAAACTCAACATGAGTAATTCAATCGAAAATTGACTTTTCTTTCCATCATATCAGTTAGATGTTTATTCGTTCTTTCCCATAGTAGCCTGTTACTGATGGAAAAATAAATAAGATTTGTGTATATTCTAAACGTTTTAACATAGGCCTCCAGTTATCAGTGTTCAATAAAAGTGAATCATCTAACATGTTTGATCATTTCCGTCGTTTATTTAGTTGCTCAACAGAGCATATAAGAGCATAATTCTCACTGACAATTACATTTCCACTATTTAACGTCATCTAAATATGTCTTCTATAAAGAAATTACTCTACGACATTCCAAAGTACAGAATAAAAAGAGAAAATCAAGTGAATGTTAAGGATTGAAATGAAGTTCTCAGTGAAAACCTCACTTTACACACACTATTCACTTACTTAATGAACAGGAAACTGTTGCATATTACAACTACATAGTTCAATGTTATCATGTTGGTTTCATTGTGATCTGAATGCTTTCAATGATTTCGTCTATGTAATTGTTTATTTATGGTATTTGTACTAAGTAATAACTCCCTTGTACTTGATTGCGCGCTTATTACGAATATAAAACGTTTAGTAGTGCTCATCTAGTTCTATCTGACATAAATCGAACTGTTTCGGGAATCCTTAGTTAACACATTAATTCGAATACTTCTGTTTAACATGGTATTTCTCATTGTTAAGTTGTCTTAAGTTGCCTTATGGATTCAGTTGCTCAATGATCCCTGAATACTGTTTATTCTTCAGTTGATGTTAACTTAGTTTACTTATGTAACCTTTAAATTATGCCAAAAAAACTGCATATAAACACATACCTCAATAAATTTAAACTGGTTTATTAGTTACTTTAATCTAATTAATTAAATGTTTAGGTTCCACAGAAGATCCTATTACTGGTAAGTCTGATCAGTTCATTACTTACATACTTACTTACTTACTCATTTACGCCTGTCACTCTCGATGGAGCATAGGTCACCGAACAGCATTCTACAACCCACTCTGTCTTGGAGATACCTTTCTAGTTCTATTCAATTGCTGTTCACTCTTTTTATGTCTGTCTCCGTTTCTCGACGTAATGTGTTCTTCGGTGTGCCTCTTCTCCTATTGCCTTGAGGATTCCATGTGAGGGCTTGCCTTGTGTTGCAATTGGGTACTTTCCTCAGTGAGTGTCGTACCCACTTTCAGCGCTTTTCCCTGATTTCTTCCTCCACTGGAATCTGTTCATAACTGTATGTATTTCATTTAAGCATTTTTTTAAAGTTTCATTAAGACTTTGTCATATATTTTCAATGGGAGTTGAAAATTATATTTTTTTATCGTGTAATATGTACTTACGTATTTTACTTAATTGAAATGAATTGATCGATTTCATGGTTGTTAACATTTGTCAAAATGTAACGAAATTCTGGACAGAACTAACATTTTCAGCAGAATTAGAAACATTATTTTCCACTGTCAGATTCTTGGAAGTTATCATTGCGTAAACCGAACTGTGATTGAATTTCGTTGAGAATAAATCTGTCACTTTATGACAATCATCGTTTTTATAAGCAAAGAGGTATGATGGCTAGTAGTGGAATCCAAGATGGGTGTGGTTATCTGGACTTAGTAGCTAAGTGGATAACGCCATGGCGTTTGAAGTGAACGGTACTGGGTTTGTGTACCAAAATGAACATCAAATCTGTAATGCAGGTACATCCAAATGACTAGTCCAAATATAGGACGAAACGTGCGTCCTTGATTCCACTCCTAGCCTTTTATCCATCTTTGCTTACAATATTTGTGACTTAAAGCAATATCGATGTAATCTGTACAGTATATACTTACGCCGATGATAGACTGATCAACTGCAGACCTAAACATCAATGGAAAGATTCAAGCAAACAATAGAATAATGAATTAAATCACTGTCTTCTTTTCTAATATTTACAATTGACCGAAATCTAACGAATGATTTGTAACAGTTTGCTCATTTTACAACTGTATAGTGGATTGAAAGTGATGTGCATATAGATGAGGAGTAGGATCAGTATGTTTTAAGAATAACGTCAGTGTAATAAAATTCTAATAAATTATAGGTCTGACTTAAGGTGCTAACGTCAATAAAAGTAAGGTCAAGGAGATAAAACAGATATCTAGACGATTTTAGACACATGATTAAAAGTACATGATCCTCTAGACTTACTCAGAATATTTGTTTATTGAAATGATAGAAATAATCTGTAGTTAAAGTAAGTACTCTTAGTAATGTTGCGTTCCATTAAGTGAAATGTCGAATTGAAAGGCATTCATTATCATTTTGAACAACATCATCAACCTTTACTTCAAATGAAAGTGAGCTTTTTAAGAATCTTTCCACATGCAATAAATCAGTCCATTCTAATGAATTTGTTACTGATTGGTCGTCTTAGCAAGATTTACCACTTTTATATTTCTTTGGAGTCTTGCTGTTTGCTTTGTTCTCTTGAACTCTGACCATGTAACTGATAGATCTTTCCCACATAGATTGATCGCTTATATGTACTTCCATCTGTCTAATGATTCTATTTAGACATGAATGGCATATATCTTTATTTTCTTTAGTATGTTTGTGTTATAGTCTCTTTCTTACAGTTATGACCCAGCTATTCCTATTGCTTAGTATTCTCGGACACCGATTCACTCGACAAGTCCCGAAATCCGAACACGGTTGAACAGGAAAGAGATTATATCCCAAACAACAAGGTTAGATGGAAGTAAGATGCACAATAGGGAAAACGTTAGTATATTTATAGTTTTTACATGAGAAGATTCTAGAGTATTCTTCAAGTATCGACTAGTGCTGATTGGATAAGAATCAGTCAATCAGCGTGCATCAAAGCTATCCTGTATTGAGCATGCTTTAATCCAGTCTATGTCCCGCTAACAGTTTGAAATTTCCTTGATCTACAATCATTCCTTTCATATAGTTGTTACTTGTTTACACTGATATAACTGATAACATCCTATGCAGTGTTTTGAATTCCGACATTGTTATCAATACGAATCACAACGTATTTAAAGGAATAGATATAAATTCAAACATAATATATCGTTATCGAGTTACTTTATTCAAACAGTTTGTTCTCTCTCGGTTTTATTGTTCTATAAAATATGGCAGATCCTCCCACTTTCGGTAAGTTACATAATTCTCTTTGCAACCGAATTGTCTTAACCTAACTCCTGTATATGGCTAAATTGATATTTAAAAAATGAAAGAGATACATGTTAAGGTAACTGTTCTCTGGAATCAAGTTTGACAATTCATTGCTTTATAGATTGAATAAAATGTGAATTAATTTCTCATTTGTCAATCACATGTTATAATCACATTCCAACTAATTAGGCTTGATGGTTGAGATCATCATTCATTTGTAGCTAGATCACCATGGAAAACCTAGGAGCACTAGACCTCAGTTTCGTCCCACTGTGTGACTCCTCAGCAGTGCGCATCCAGACCGCGCCTTGCGAGATTAAAAATCAGGATCTATCAGTCTTGCGCGTGAACGCTTAACCTCGAGACCATTGAACGGGCCGTCATCCAACGGTATTAATGTCTAACTTCAACTAATCCCCAAAATCGAGCAAAACATCCACCATTATCATCAGTGAGTTACTATCTCACAAAAGACCCGGTTAAATTACTTCGGAATTTAGATTGTTTTATGTAAACGAAATAAAGTGAGACTGATAGGTCCTAGGTTTGAATCTCACGAGATGGGATCGTGGATGTACACCGCTGAGGAGTCCCATACTAGGACGAAACGGCCGTCCAGTGCTTTCAGGTTTTCCATGGTGGCCTAGCTTCAATTGACTCATGAATTAAACTATAAAAATTACTAAAATCTCACAAAACCCCTTTTGGTACTATGTAGGTTTGACTAACTTTTTAATACTAAGTTGTCTAGCATAGATCATACAACTGAAAGTCGAGTAAATAAAACTATCCTTACTAAACGAATTGTATCCATTACTTGTAATTATACTGAAGTCTTTGTCTAGGACTACTGGCACATTCATCAATTTATCGATAAATTTAATTTGTTGAGAACTCAAAAGATAATCACCTATCTTGATTATGGGATAAGAAAATAAAATCATCATATTGACAAACTACATTAGATATTATTGCGCTAAATCTACACTACATAATATCAGAAGTTTATTTAAGCTACTGATGTGAATTAGAAATTACCCTTCAAATCCTATCCAGATCTTCATATTCTTTGGTTGTATCTCAAATAATCTCAGTTTATGACAACTGCAAACTTATTGGTGTGACTATAACTTATGAACAACCTTTGAGTGACGCTAAAGTGATCTCGAAAATGTCCACCTACTTACTAAAACTAAATGAAAGTTATAAAGTAGTGTGAAAAATTACGATTATGATTTACAGCTGGTAGTTAAGATTAGGAACTAGATTTATAGTTTCCATCACGAACTAACATGAGCTATAATGCTGAAACTCTATTTAGCCAAATGAATACATGAATTCTGCGCCAAAATCCGAAATTCATTATCTCATACCTGATTGGTTCGTCCATAAATTAAAGTTTCACCTATTTATAATGGTTCTGTAACAGTTTTCTAAGAATTTCGCACTTTCATGTAAAGGCTGTTAACATATTTACATATAACCAACTTCTTATTTATTCTAATCTTTCATCGATCTTGAATTTAACAATTTCTTCTGGCACAAATCCATAAAGTCACTGACAACTGGGCTGAGTCATGTTGGTAGGTGTAGACTATATGGTTGGGATTCGCGAGATGATAGCAACCGATGGTTAGAGATCGTGAATGGCATGGCTCAAAATCGTTTGCAATGACTCAGGTGCATCCACTCTTTGTGTTCTCCCAAATTCCAATCTTTTGAATTCTTCATGTCCATTATTTTGTTTCCAAATTTATTTCACTGGATTATACTTCTTGAATGATATCTTCAAACCCTAATCTTTCGGATTACTGCTTATACTCTCACTACCTTTACCAACTGCACCTCTGTGCTAATGTGGTATGGCAACCCGAACTGATGTACATACGTATGTACGAAGTTCTACGTTGTTACTGACTGACTGACTGAACAATTTCTTCATCATTATTATGCAATTAGTTTCTGAATCATTTGCTTACTATTCACAATATAAACTATTCATTATTTAAATGTATCATCTAATTTAGTTGTTAAACACTGAATAGACATATAATGATCATTAAAGTACATTGGGAAAAGTCAAGTAATCCTTAACTATTCTCTTTGTCCAGTTTAAGTTCCGATTATTTTCTAATATCAAATCATTTTTATGATTATCTGGATTTATAGATAATACAACAATGACCAGTACAACAAGTGATTTCAGTGAGTGTAGTTTTAAAGCTTCATTTCAATTTGATTATTTATACACATGTTTGGAATAAACAATGAGATATTACATCGTTAGGTAGTTCATGATGTCTGTAACTTCTTTTCAACTGAAAGGTTGAATGTATGAGACTGTGCTTGAATTATTTACCTAAAGTATTATGTCCTATTGCTTGTTAAATATCAAGTGACGAAATCACCAATAGTAGACCGACTTCTATAACCTTATTGCTGTGCTAAAACAAATGATGCGTCAAAGAGCACTAGTAGCTTTGAGTCAATTCTGAATCCTTATCGATCCTTTGTTTTGTAGCTTCGCACCTAATTCAGCCTGTTCAGTCCAGAACACAAATATCAGTTATGTTTGTGTGAATTTTATATTTCAGAAACACTTGGTTTATATAAAAACAAACCAGACCACATCACACCATAAAAGAAAAAATAACTATTATAAGAGATCCAGCTAATAGTGACTGTGAATGTGAGATACCGTAACTAATAAACTGGGAATAACTTAGGAATAGTAAATCGTATATCAGTAGTCAGCAGGTCAAATGAAAGATTATGATAAAAGAAATATATGTAATAATAGTCCATAAATAACTCCTAGCAGTTACCACTCATTTATTCTTCATTCGGAAAGAATACAATAATAAACCATTAATCAGTATGGGGTTGTGGAGATTGTTAAGTTTTTGGTTGAGATCATGAATTAATCGATGTTAGACCACCGTTGGAAACCTGGAAGCACTGGACGGCCGCTTCGTCGTGACCAGTGGAGCTAATCCGTGTCGGGTAGAGACAGGTATCTACCTTAGTACAATGGAAGGTGGTCGCGCAATTTCGTGGATTGGTTGATCTTAGACACTAACACCATTGGATGCCGGCTCAGTGGTCCAATGGTTATGTGCTCAGGCGCGAAGCCAGTAGGTCCTGGGTTCGAATCCCGCGGGGTGCGGGATCGTGGATGCGCACTGCTGAGGAGTCCCATACAAGGACGAAACGGCCGTCCAGTGCTTCCAGGTTTCCAACGGTGGTCTAACATCAATTAATTCATGATCTCAACCATTAATATATCACTGTTTAAATACCTATGGTGTTTATAAATTCATATATGATCATATAGTTAAACATATATTACTTTCATGTAGTAGACATGAACATGGTTTACTAATGAACATTTTTGTCATTTTAAAATGAATATCAGAAGAGGTTATGTGGAGATTTCAGCAATTTTTATAGTTGAGATCATGAGTCATTTGAAGATAGACAAGCATGGAAAACCTAGAAGCACTAGACGGCCGTTTCGCCCTACTTTGTGACTCCTCAGCAGTGTACATCCATGATCATGAGATTAGAACACAGGAATTATCAGTCTCGTGCGTAAACGCTTAACCTCGATACCGCTGAGCCGACCGGCACCCAACGGTGTTAATGTCTAACTTCAACTAATCCACAAAATTGAGCCACACATCCACCATTATCATCAGTGAGTTACCATCTCACAACGGACCCGGTTGGACTCCACTAGCTTTCCATGTTGGTCTAGCTTCAATTGACTCATGATCTCGACTATTAAAACTAATAAACAAATCTGATTTTAATCCGTGAAAAAAAAACTGTATTCAAAATTAAAGACATCTTCATTCATAACATATCTACATGTTGGTAATACGCTTAATGACAAATACGTTCGAAGTGAATCTCTTGCAGGTTTTGTAGGACTCAACAAATTTAGATGATAGACTACAATTCACTGATAATATTAGATTAGACTCTAGGTATATCATCATGTATTGACTATATTTGTAAACAAACTATACAAGATATAGAGGATTATTAGTTTACTAAAGGTTGCAAATTTATTCATTTCTGAAATTGTGGTTACGTATTGTTGAAACATCTGATAACAGATTCTAAATTGACTCAGAAAACTATCACTTGTTAGGCTAATTTGCATAAATATCCTGCTAGTGGACAAATCATTTGACAAAATATAGCTTACTTATGTACCATGTATTGTAATATGAATTGCTATATCTAGATAGGCATATCTAAAGTTACATGTAATACTGAATTTACTTCAATTTATTTATTTCAGCCAATAAACCAGAAGAGGAAAGTAAGTTCCATATAGAACATTCTATTTGTGGATGTTTCGTTTGGTACTCATGGTTTTCATGGATACCTCAGTTAATACTAAAACGTTAACATTAGCCTAGTAGTTAAATTCAATCCATGTAGGTTCGAATTCTGTGAGGCGGGATCGTGGATTCGCACTGTTGAGGAGTTCCACATTAGGACGAAACGGCCATCCACTGCTTCCAGGTTTTCCATAGTGATCTAGCTTCATTTGACTCATGATCTAAACTATTGAAATTATTTCTTATTTATCATTATCGCATATAAGTAATATCTTGATTATGTTCATTTGATTTTCTTGTATATTGATATCTAATCCATTTTAATGGTCATTCCGTTTACTTTAAGCCATAAATCCATATTATAATTTTTAACTTGAGACTGTTTAGTTAAGCCAATGTTTACATGAAAACACGAAATTAAGTTTTTCATGAATTACTTGTATGTAGTAAATAATTTTCCAAAGTCTTTTCATCTTAGTAACCATAATGAAAAACGTTTAGGCAATTCAATTAAGGGACGAGTATACTGTTCGGCAGTACATTATGTTTTACTTTACGCCTGCGAAACGTGGCCATTAAGAGTAGAAGATATTCGTAAGCTACTAGTATTTGACCACATGTCTTAGAAATATTGCTCGCATCTCCTGGGATCACCGGGTAAGTAATAGTGAGGTGATGGTAAATCAGTTGATGAGGTTTTGAATCTTCATCGGCTGAGATGGTTGGGTCACGTGTTACGTATGTCTGAACACCGATTACCACGACTAGTGTTACGGATCGTTGGGAGAAAGTTAGGTGCGGTCAAACCAAAACATTGTATCAGTCCACAATGTCAATAACTTCTAATCTTAGTCATGTTGATTGATGCAGACTACTTGGTTGGGGTCCATGTGACTATCGTAACCAATGATTGGAGACTGTGTGTGACATGGCTCAGAATAAATCGCATTCGCGTAAGTGCATATGCTCTCTGTCTACCTTTAAACTAAGAGATTAAAATGACTTCATACCCTTATTTCTACGAACTGACTCTTTCTTCCCACACTGTATCCTTATACATAATTCTTCTTTTATAAATTACTACCATTGAAGTAACTATTTCTATGAATATGGTGTTGATCTTGTTGTGCTCATGAGATGTGACAACTTGGATCGATGCATATATGTGCCTAAGCCTACGTTATAGCTGATTAACTAACTGATGATATTAATTCAAAATCTTGGCATACATTAATCATTTACATATCGAACTACAAGAAAACAAAACTTTACTACTCAAAAACATTAGTTCTTTATTCTAATAAACTTGAAATACTTTGGATAAGATCTAATTAACTATTGGGACAGTAGTTAACTTTTCATAATAATAAATACTAGGCGGCTATTCGATTATCTGGGCTACTTGTTCCTATCATCTGGATATTTCAACAAAATATCTGATTTCTTGTTTGTTTTAATATATCATTATGCCCATTTGTCGCATAATCTATTCAGGTGAGTTTGTGACAAGTTTACGACATTTCACTATACAAGCCTAATCAGTGACATCTTGGTTCGTGGCAACGGTGTGCATTGAAAAGAATAAACATTATTCAGATGTCGATTCTTGATCTGCTAACATCTAACTGGAGATCAGTTAATACTTATCGTCAAGATCGATCAAGAAATAAGAAACGGGAACTTGTTGAAATACTTTATGCTGACAATTCTATATTGTACCAAAAATATAATATTGAATAAAGCCACTAATGATAACAATGATAATAATGAATGTTTTATCGTGTTACTTTATTGTTTCTTGTGTCTTTATCCAATTTCAGACTCTACCACAGATGACACTAATTGTAAGTTTAATTATTCATCAAAATGAGTATATCAGTTACATCTGAACGAAATGAAGATTCTTCTATAAAATAGATTACTTGTTAGTTTAGATGTTATATCGACTGATTTATGGTTGGAATTATTCCCGACTGTCCGCTCTGAAAACGTGTAGTATAGCGTAGTGCCGGCCAAAGTTTCGGGGAGAAAGATACACCTATATAGTAAACATTTGGTCTTCAGATCAAAACCATTATGAATATTGCACAATAATATTGATACAACAATTGAATAAAAATACTTCCTCTTCAACAAGATCCTTTACTATAATAGGATCATACAACTAGTGACCACGATTATACTATCACTAGACTATATACTTGATCGATACGCTGTACATGGACTGGAATCACGTTATATCGAATACTTGATCCATGACCAGTTATATAGTGAATCAGGGTATAGGTTAGGTTATAGTTAGACAACTGTTGGACACCTAGTAGCCCTGAACGGACGTTCGGTTCTAGTATGGAACATCTCAGCAATCAGCATCTACGCCTCGTGCTCCAACGTTTAGCCACTAAACAAATGAACCGGTATCCAACAGTGTACAAGTTCAGCTTCTATAAACATAAAATAGTTAGTTAACTGGATGTCTGTTTGTCCACGCTTAGTAACCAATCACATTTTACACATCAAATACACAGCCAAATGCAGTACATCAAATGAAAAATAACCGAAAGTGATAACGTACATCTTGTGAACGTTACGGATAACCTCAGTTGTAAGTTATATACTGAGCTGCATAACTTCTGTTCAAAGATTTTCTCACCTAAAAGACTTTCGTTTAATCTCTCCTGGTGAAACATAATCTTTCCATACGATCATGATATGGACAATGTTTAAAATGAATACATATGAAAAACAAACAAGTAGTTGAATATAAACATTTTTTAACATGATCTCAAAAAAATGTTTTAATTAAATATGGTGTATTAGTATCCATCACCATTCTCATTCCTTTCACCCAATCAGTTCATGTCGTCCCATGATATCTTCATACCCGGTGTTGTCCATTCCGACTTTAGCGTTTTGATCTTCCATTAGGTACTTTTCAGGGTACTTCTCTGTGATCGACTGGAGCCTCTCGTATAAAGCCTGTTACCTCTCGTGATGCATAGGGTACCGACTAGGGAATCTTTAGCCAACTCACTCCTGGGCTTTCGTTTCAAGATGTCCCCATGTGATATTCAGAATCCTAATTTATGCCTTTGATTCCCGGTGCATTTGTTGCTCTGGGTTTCAGAAGGAATATCAGCCTCATGATTTCCGAAGAATCCCAGCTTCCACTATGAGGCATCATGACTCTACTCCTAAGATAGAGTTTAAATGGCTAAAATAATTCTTTATGGTTACCGCATATTATTAACAAGTTTCTTGTTTACAGAATAGAGTCGGTAAACCCATGTTCAACCATCCTGCTTTATCCGGGCTTGGAACTAGAAGTAGACTTTATTAGGCTCTAAGTAGAGTTAGTTCTGTAGTTTATGGATAGTACAATCACTCTGAAATATCAATATCATATCTCTAATATTTGTCAAGTTTGTTGATGAATTTCATATAAGCGTAAAACATTCGTAAATTGCTCTTAAGATTTTACTGATATCTCAACTAGTGTTGCTTTGAGCTGAATATTGTTAATTAATAGGTTCATAACACTAATCTTGATCGTATTAAGTAATTTATCTCAAGTATTGTCTCAATTGTTATTATTATTATTATTATCGAATAGGCCAATCTAAGTTAATCACTGCGTCATTGATCTCTTATCATCATCGTCTACGTAAATAAAAATATGAACATAATCATTAAAAATTTTAGGCAAAGATGAATAGGGACTAGCAGTGGAATCCAGGACGAGGGTTTCGTCTTATTTGAGACTCGTCAGCTAGGTGTACCTGCATCTCGGGTTTGATGTTCACTCCGGGACTCGAAACCATCACCGTTAGCTCCAGACGCCATTGCGTTACTCACTTAGCTACTGAGTCCGGATGGTCACTTGTTTTAGTAACGGCGTGAAGATACAAGTAAAACAACACCAAGCGAACAATCATCAAACAGTTCATAATTATTCATCTTAATTATATTATTGTAATAATGGTAAAATAATTCAATGTTTATTTCACTTGTTATTCACTTTTTCACTTTGTAGATACTACAATCCCCGGTTATTCTAGTAAGTTATATCATTCCATTTCATTTGTAAATATCAGTTTCATCTATTCTAATATATTTTGATGGAGTTTTGTTCTTTGTGATGGATGCTTTAGTTGTGAAGCTTTCATCGTTCTTCTTAACAACATCATCAGCACAAACTTCAGGTGGAAGTAAAGTGTTCGAACAAAAAAATGGACACCGATGGGATCACCAATATCAGGACTTGTCGCAGAAGCAGTGAGAAACCTGATGATGTCGTTCAGAAGAACGATGAAAGCTCCACGACTAGACCATCCAGCTCAGAGAATAAAACTCTATCAAAACCATCCACGTGAGCTACAAATCTTCTCCACTCTGATATATATTTTCATTTAACTGATCACTCAATTGATTTATATCTTAAAATGTATTCAGATGAAAGTTTCTAGATTGATTTAGGGTTGTGGAAACAGTTGAGTTTCATTGAAACCACAAGTCGATCTATGTTAGACTCTCACTGAAAATCTGGGAGCAATTGACGTTTGTATCATTGTAGTGTGGAACTCTTCAAAAGTGCACGTCCATGAGCTTATACCTGGGAATCTAATCCAGGTTATTTGGCCTCACAAATGCTTAAACGCTAGACAACTAAGGTGGCATTCAACGATTTCTGAGTATTGAATCCAGCTTAAAGACCCATACACACACAGTGAATAAACATTATCTTAAATAAATTGGCCTTTGTTTTTTGAAGAAGAAAAACTATAACTAATTCAACTTATTTTAAATGCAAACTTTAAAAGAAAGAAATTTTTTCATTCCATAACATTCACATATAAAGCACTACGTTTCTTATGGTGTCCGGAACGCTTTTGTTGGTCCTTGAAAATTCGAGCGAGGCAGTATAAATTTTGTAGTGGGCCTATCCATATCCATAAGGTTAATAGCCTCTTGCATTTGAACAATGTAAGTAAGGGAATTCGGTAAACTGGATACGTAACTTCAGGAGAAGTATTGACTCTGAGAACCGATTTAGACAGGCCGAGATCAGATACATATCGGTCCAGTTGAGGGCTGGTGTCTTTTCTGCTTTATGTGCTCTGGTGCACATTCTGATTGGCATCAATCGTGGACGGCTTCAGCCAAAGGAAATCCACACAAAAAGAAGTAAAGGTTAAGGGCTGACACCTCTCATTGATGAAATACCCGTGAAAAATGCACTGGCGTGAATTCTGTAATTATTATTTTCAGAATATGTTATCATTATTTATTAAGTAATATATTTTATTGAACATTAATTTCATCCACAGGTACTGACATAATCACAAACGATGGTACGTTTGTTTTGTTTTTTGATAAATTATACTTTGTATTCTCTTTACATGTTTGTACGCATAAATCAGAACTCATATGGAACACTTGTAATTAGAAAATTTCAGTAACTATGCTATTTTGGGCTATCATCCGGTTTTTGATTCCGTAAGCTATCCCAGATTGATACGGACAAATAGGAGGCTACATTGACCATAGAAATCAATTATGAAACAAAACTCAGATAACTGGGCCAAATCCTAATCAAAAGGGCTATCTTTCAATAATGCTCACTGATCATTTAGCCTTGACCTAGCACATACTTATAGGCATATGGTGTGACTGGATTTGTTAAGCTTATTGGAATAACCCATTTGCACTTGGTGTTCGTGCTGGCTTACTGTGGAACATGTGATCAATGCCTAATCAAGGACCCACACGCAGGAGTTAAACTCAGGACATTGAGCCTTGCACATAAGCGCTTAGCCTACAGACCACTAAATGGCATCTGGTAGTGTTGGTGTCAAACTCCAATCAATCCAGGATATTGAGCAATCATCTCCAACTGTCTTCGGTAAGCAATTGCCTCACACTCGACACGATTGAACTCCACCGGTCACGGCTTCTCATTCATTTGTTTCAGTTATATAAATCTCATCAGAATAAGACTAATAATAATAGTATCAAAGCTGGTGCAGTTACTTTTATATGTCCCAAATCCCAGGTATTTATTGTAACAACCTATTTAAAAAAGGTAACCATTTTTGAAATCTTTACCTGATAATATGTCACCTAAATTATTTTCATTGTAATTTGTTATTTCACGTTATCTCCCTTTGAATTATAAGCATTTCTTTGATTAGTCATTGAAATGATTTGGAGTATACAAACTTATGGCTCAATTTCGCTCTTTTAAACACTTAATCGGATAATCTCCCAATATTTTTTTTATTCTACAATAAGATGCACTTACTACATCTCTTTTTTAAAGATGATTTACAATGACACTTTTATTTTCCCCAAGAAATGACATCAACTACAGAAGCACTGAAAACCAAGGAGTGTTGGAAAGGTATTATCTTTGTCTACGATCTTCAAGCTGAAACACAAATTTCTATTTTCTAAACCCTAGTTAATTTATGCTTTGGTTACTTGACTACGGGTCAAACATCTTATTTATGAACTAGGGATACTGCCTAATTAAAAAACCGAATTAAATGGAGCAAGATTTGAACCAATGACCCAATGATGAGGGTTTCTGTCCTTCACTCATTCATCTATCAATTGGTCCGTTTTGTCTGTAACGCATAAAGCACGCTTCGGTTCGTTTACTTATCTATGAATGACACATTTTGGTATAGAGGTGGATATTGTTTTATGAAAGACCAGTCTTGTGAGTGGTAGATTGAAAATAGAATATCCTAAATGAATACTATTTAATTTTAATAGCTGAAATCATGAGTCAAATGAAGCTAGACCACTATGGAAAATCTGTAAGCACTGGATGGCTGTTACGTCCTACTGTGCGACACCTCAGTACTATGAATCCACGATCCTGCCTCGCAAGATTCGAACCCAGGACCTATCCGTCTCGCGCCAGAGCGCTTAATATTTTTAGTATAACCATTCTACATTGAGAAATTCACTCACAACGTTTGTTGGTTTTCTTTCTCTACCTTTTATTTCTTTAAATTCTGCTCTCAGCTACAAATTTAAAATGTCAACGAATATTCTACATGATAGTTGGATTGATCAGTCTAATGGCAATCAATTAACGAAAAAAGCACTCATTCTCTGTAATCAATGTATAACTAGTTTCATGTGTATGTTTATATTATATTCTTAGCATATTATTACCATGTTGGAAATAATGCAATCTCGTGTTCATTTTCTGATGATATAGTTAGTTACCAGTGATCAGTAGAAATCTTTGATCTGATGCATCAGTCATAAAACAATGAGAACATTATATATGTCTGAAGCAGTTCAAGTTACCCTGCTTTACATCGGTATAGTCAGTGAGGGAATTATCACGATGTGAATTAGTTATAGGAATAAGTTACGCACTTGTCGTGCAACTTTAAGGTTCAGTTGAGGTCCTGGATGTTTACTGTTGAAAATTCTTAATCTGAGTCTGAAAAGCTGTCCAATTCTCCTTGGTTCTTAATACTATAGCAGCTAACATCGATCCGTCATAAATATCCCTTAAAAATATGATAATTATTAAGTCAGATTATGTAAATCAGATGAAAGATAGCTAACTGTAGATCGATTACAACGTCTTTTATGTGTAGAAAGGAGCTGAATTCTCCTGTTGTTAACATTAATGACTGAATATTAATCAGTCTTAGCATATGTACATTTAGAGAGAATTAAGATAAGTTTTAGGCTAAGAATCTCATATTCATTAGACAAATTAGTGATAATCCAGTCTCAGTAGCTCAATAGATAATATATTAACATTTGAAGAAAAAGGTATAGAGTTTAAGTTTTAATATATACCTAAACATTGAAGTGAAGGTAGATCCAATCGACAAAGCTCAATTAAGACGAAACACACTACCCAGATTCCACCAATCATCATTCTATCCTGAAAACCATCTTTAAGTTCGATTTGGAAGTGAACATTTACAAAATAACACTGTCGTGAATTCAATCCACTTGGTATTATTTGTTTGAATCTTCCTATTGATGTTCAGCACTGTTAATTGATCAGTCTCTTATTGACATATGTACATACTGTGAGTATCGCCTCGATATTGCCTTAATTCACAAGCATTATAAGTAAAGATGGATAGTGCCTAGCAATGGAATCCAGGACACATGTTTCGTCCTATTTAAGACTCGTCAGCTAGATATATCTGCATCTCAGAGTTGATATCTACTCTGGGACTCGAACTCAATACTGTTCGCTTCAAACGCCACATCATTATCCACTTACCTACCAAATGAATTTAAACTTCACCCCATGTTAGAACCCAAGTTATAGCCAGTAGATTAATTATTGCTTGATATGATGGGAAAAAAAATGAATTTTCGATTGAATTACTCATTATGAGTTTTACTCAACATTCAACGTCCCTTTTGATTCAACGTGAGGATCATTCAGTGTAGTATTTGATTTGTTTTCCCAGTATAATATTTTCTTCTGTATAATATACGATATTCTTGTATTCCATTGACATGAACTATGCTCAGTAATTGATTTGTTATAACTGAGTATGTGATCTAATCCGAATTGCTAATCAAAATGGGTGTACAATCAATATATAAACAGGTGTATTTTAGACTAGATTCGACTCGTCGTTGTCATAGTGTTTTGGGGCTAATAAATCTTCATTTATACCAGTCTTGTGTTCTTACTTTCGCATTGGGGGAATTGCCGTGGTCTCTCGTTCCGAGTATAGGTGATCAGCGTTTTCGGGGCACAACAATTGGTTATCAGGCTTCAGTAGACAAGTAGATAACGTGATGGCGTTCGCGTCCCAAAGTGAACATCAACTTTTTAAGATGCAGATATATCTAGCTGACGAATCCCAAATAGAATGAAACCCGCATCCTAAATTCCATTACTAACTACTATCCATCTTTACTATAATTAATTATTTGTTCCTTTTCTATCATTATAATCATTACAAGTAGTGTTTTCTTTCTAATCCTTAAATTTATAGATTTCATAAAACAATTCATTAAACTATTAACCGTAAACTGTTAGTAACAGTAATTGAATAGTTACCTTTCTTCCCTTTTCTTGTAATATGAACATTTTATTGATTTCAATCAGAGTAATTCGTTACCAAATTTGAATGATGATGTATATTAAAAAAGATTTTTTTTCAAAATTATAATAAATATCATACAATAAAAATGAATTAATATTTACTTTCAGACGGGAGGTTTTCTGGAGATTGTAGTCATTTCAATAGTTGTGAATATGAGTTAATTGAAGCTAGACAACCATGGAAAATCTGAAAGCATAGGATGGATGTTTCATCCTATTGTAAGACTCGACAGCAGTACGTACCCAAGATCCCGCCACGTGGGATTCAAACCCAACACCTATCAGTCTTACTGATGACAATGGTGGATGTGTGGCTCAATTTCATGGATTAGTTGAAGCTAGGCATTAAAATCATCGGATACTGGTTGATTGGTATCGAGGTTAAGCGCTAGCGCGTAAGACTAATAGGTCCTGGATTCGAAACTCGCTAGGCGGGGTCATGGATAAGTAATCCTGTGGGGTCTCACAATACGACGAAACGGCCGTCTAGTGCTTCTAGGTTTTCCATGGTTGTCTAGCTTCAACTGACTCATGATCTCAACTATTGAAATTAATACTTTGTTTATTATATTAATAATAAAATGAATATACTGAATCTAAACCAAAAAGAAATTATGAATTCGTGGAATAAAATATTCAAGATAACTTTGAAATTTAGGGTTCAGGAGAAAATGAGTAATGAGTAGTTTTTGAGTTATTTGGTGTTGATTCTGAACTGTCATTCGAGGTCTTCAACTATTGACTTCGATAACTGAAAGGATCTTCACTATAAAGTTTACGTTTACTTACGTAGATCAGAACAATAGTTATTGACTTATTGATATTAGATTTGAAATTCATTTCGGTGGTGATTTCATCCAGTACGACGATAGACAGATTAGAAATCAATCGCGAGATATACACTGTTAGTACGTTAGTCAGATACAACGTAGGACCAGGCACATATATGCATCGGTCAAAGTTATCATACCTCATTAACACAACAATATCAACACCATATTCATAGAAATAGTTACTTCAATGGTAGTGATTTATAAAAGAAGAATTGTATATAAGAACATAGTACAGGAAGAAAGAGTTAGTTCGTAGAAATAAAGGTATAAAGTCATTTAATTCTGTTAGTTTAAGGGAAGACAGTGAGTGTATACACTTACGCTACTGTGATTGATTCTGAGCCATGTCACTCACAGTCTCCAACCATTGATTACGATAGTCACGCTGACCCCAAGCAAGTAGTCTGCATTAATCAACATGAGTAAGACTAGAAGTTAGTGATCTCAATGAATGATGCCACGTTTTGGCTGGTTCGACCGCACCTAACTTTCTCCCAAACATCCACAACACTAGTCATGGTAATCGGTATTCAGGCATACGTAACACGTGGCCCAACCATCTCAGTCGATGAAGATTCATAACCTCATCAACTGATTTACCATCATTCCCTAATACCCTGCGTCTAACCTCACTATTACTTACCCGGTGATCCCAGCAGACGCCAGCAATATTTCTAAGGCATCTGTGGTCAAATACTAGTATCTTACGAGTGTCTTCTACTCTTAATGGCCATGTTTCGCTGCCGTAAAGTAGGACAGAACGAATTGCCGCACAGCATACTCGTTCTTTTAATTAATAAACGGATATCCCGGCTTTGCGATAGGTGACGTAAGTTAGCAAAAGCCGAACAAGCTTTTTGAATCCATGCTGAGATTTCGTCAGACACCAACCCATTAAGACTGATCAGACTTACAAGATATGTGAAGTTGTCGACGCGTTCGACTACTTCACTCCCTATCTTTAGTTCAGGTGTTAACGCAGACCAGTCCTGAAGCAACAACTTGCATTTAGAGGGAGAGAAGCGCATTCCAAACATTCTGACATTGTTGCTCAGTGCTACCAAAACACTGCATTTTGTCAGCGTCTTCACCAAACAGGACTATGTCATCTGCGTATTCTAAGTCGATAAGTCGACCTCCTGGTAGGAGATCAATACCCGAGAATTCAGTCGACGAGAAAGTTATTTCCATCAGTAGATCTATGATGAAGTTAAAGAAAAATGGGGAAAGTGGACAGCCTTGACGGACACCACTTGAGGTTGCAAAAGTAGATGACAGTTCGCCATAAGCTCTGACTCGACTAGTAGTGTTCGAGTAAAGAGCCTTCACAAGGTTTATGTACTTCTGGGGTACGCCTTTCAATGACAGACACTGCCACAGAATCTCGCGGTCTACGGAGTCAAATGCTGTTTTTAAGTCGAGAAAGACCACCATTGTCGGAAGCAGATAAGCATGTCTGAGTTCTAGAGCCTGACGAATGGTAAATATGTGGTCGATGCAGCCACGATCAGATCTGAAGCCAGCCTGGTTTTCTCGTGTTTGCAGTTCACGAGTCTTTGTTAGGCCTCCGATAATTATTGAGGCTAGTATTTTAGATGCTATATTAATCAAACTAATCCCTCTGTGGTTATCACAGGATGATTTTGACCCTTTCTTATATATTGGGACGATAAGTGATTGTCACCAGTCAGATGGGATTACGTCCAACTCCCAGATTTCATCTAAAATAGTAGTCAATCTGATGGCTAGAATTGGACCACCATCCTTAAAGACCTCTGGAGCCAATCCATCTGGACCAGCTGCCCTTCCTCGTTTCAGATTAACTATAGCCTTTTGAACTTCAGCTAGAGTTGGGGGACCTACTTCAATGTTCCATTCACACTGTCTGGGAATGGAGGGTAGTTGTAGAGTAGCTGAAGGCCAGCTGAACTGTTCCTTAAAGTGTTCCGCCCATCGTTCTAAACGTCTGGACTGGGAGCAGATGAGAGTATCGTCTTTTCCCGAAATAATCTCACTTACACTTGACTTATTAATTCCAGTTTCTTTTATTAGTCTGTAAAGCTGTCTTGTGTTCCCTATAGTCGCCGCCTTTTCCATCTCTTTTGCTTTCGTTGCCCACCACTGCTCACGGTCGTTTCTTAGACTTTTGCTTAACCTAGATCTGATTTGTTGTCGCTCTTCATCATGTTCGGAACCTGATGGGACGAGTTTGCGAGAATCCATCAGTGTGATAGACCTTGAAGAAATCCACTGGTTCTTTGTAACTCTGTGGTTTAAGTCACTAATAGATGTCACTGCTGTTTCCACAGCTGTTTGTATATCTTTCCAAGCAACATCTGGGTCAGCCTCGTCTTCACAACTACCTAAGTGTGACCTCAGTTGTTCCTGGAACCTACTTTTGGTTTTCTCGCTACTCAACTCAGTTCTAATGGGTCTTTTTAATGTGGCTTTTTTGCGTCCAGTGAGGCGCAAGCAGATGCGTGCCCGTATTAGGGCATGGTCGGAGTCCAAGCAGGTACTCCAGAATGAGCGACAATCTTCTACCGACCCTCTCCAACGATGACTGATGGCAATATGGTCTATTTGAGTCCATCGTTGGTTTGGTGTAGGGGGTCGCCATGTTAGACGATGTCTCTCCTTATGCTTAAAATTTGTGTTTGCTAAAAACAAACGATTGTCTGAGCATAGTTGCAGCAGACGATCACCATTATCTTTTCGTTGTGCCAGTATACTAAAATACCCACCTAAATGCCTTTCTGTTTGGTTTAAACTACCTATCTGGGCATTAAAGTCACCTGCTACGAGTACTATGTCTGAACGTTTAGCTTTCTGAAGAAGTTCAGATAGCTTTCTGTAAAATTCATCTTTCATTTCATCTGAGCTGCAGTCGGTGGGAGCGTAGGCAGAAACGACAACAAGGCAACGACGCGTGTCCCTATCCTTCCGAGTTCTTACGGAACCGTTAAGCGGAACAGCACATAGATGACTGTTAACGGGGGTCCACTTCAATAGTGGTTGTTCTGCCCTCGTACTTGGTGCTATGCCTACACAAGCCAGTCCACGAGAACTAGCCATCGTGTCGCCAGATACACGGAGAGCATATCTCGTCGGCTCTTTGTTTTAGCTAGGTGAGGTCAAGTGAATGATCACACTAAGATATTGTATGCGTGTTTTGAAGACAGTGTTAACCTTACATCTCTACAGGTAGACAATGTGTCCAAGGTGTATCCACACACATATTAACTGAAAAGGTAGAACACTAAAGATTTAATTTCCCAGTGGGACATACGTTAAAAGGAGCTCAACTCATTCCACGAGAATACTGGATATTAAACCAGTCTAACGTGAAGATAACCAAGAGTAAACTTAAACCAACCTACCTTATCCCTAAAAACGAAGCCCATCTGAAAATTGTTACAAGTGCATGAATCCTAATTTAGGTTTTCCCATTCACTATGCTACTAGCTATACTTTCAACTGACTGGTGAATTAATTACAACAAAGTTAAAATAACCGATTGTATCATTGAATAAGAATAAAGACAAGTGATCTTATCCCAGTATCTAATGAAGATCATAAGCATTCCAAAACAACTCTTGTAGACTGTTGTAATCAATATGTAAACAAAATACCTACAATTAACCGATTACTCACAGAAGAGCATAACTCTCAATTACCTGATTTTCGGAGAAATCAGGACTTAGTGATATGTCGCCTAGACAAGGGTGCAAGAATTTTCCTTACGGATCGTCTTGTCTATGTTACCAAACCATCTTCGATATTATCTGATCCTGTCAAATTCTCCCAAGAAACCGTTCAAAAAAGACGCAAGTGAATGAACAGATGCTGATTAAAATCCTAAGGAAGATGAAAGATGAGTTTATTATCATTTGTGACCTCCATGAACATCTTAAACCATCGATTACTGCTGGAATCTTAAATAAACAGATTTCAAAATAGTTGGATAAAACGTTCTACGCAGCTAAGCTCCAAATTGTTTTCTCAGACTGGCCAACCATTCGTGGATGTGTTAAAGATAAACCTCCACTTTGGGCCACATCAATGTGTATCTATAAATTTACTTGCTCATATGGGGTAGGTTACATTGACCACACAAAGCGACCACTCTCTAAACGCATCTCAGAACATTATCCGGCATGGCTTTTAAAACGAGAATGTAAAACAATTACTATTTCAATACAGGAGTATTTAATCAATTACGGACACATCGCTCCAATTGAGTTTTCTTTTTTAAAATAATCTACACAGTCAAAGAAATCGGATGGAAGGGATGTCGAATCAATATTTTATGCACTGCTGAGACGTTGGCAATCCACGAACTCAAACCTGAACTTTGCATGGACAAACGATTCGTTCAATCTCTCATCCTTGGCCCTAATCCCCTTTAGTGGTATGTTTCGGTGTTTTTTTCCTTTATTTCTCCATTTTTATTTGATTATTATTGGTTTTTCTAAATTAGTGTTATGTCATTGTAGACTCTAATCAGTTGTTATTATTATTACTACCCTTAAACAAGTTTTCTTGATTATTATTCAATTTCTATTATTATGACCTTTATGTTTGTTGTCTTTTCTTCAGATCTGTCAACTGGACAATTATCTGACCCGTTAATTATTTTCATCCTTCTATAACCCCCAGATTATTACGCAACCTTATGTAATATTAGGAGTCTCGAATCCATTTTATGATGTAATCTTTTCTATTCTTCTATAGATATATATTTTCCATAAAACTATAAATACGAATGTACAGCTTAAGTAAATGATTTTGTCGAAAAGGAACAGAATTCCCTTCGTTGAATTCACTTTATTCTTATTCAATAACAAAGTTACTTAACAAATTCAGTTGAAATTAGGTTAAACATCTTATTGATCACTTTTGAGTTTTATTTTTAACACCGTCGTTAGCTATTTTATTCATATCAGAAGGGTTTTTGTAGATACTCTAGTAATTTCAATGGTTGAAATCATGAGTCAATTGAAGCTAGATCACTATGGAAAGTCTGGACGGCTGTTTCGTCCTATTGCGGGACTCCTCAGCAGTGCGCACCCACGATCCCGACCACCACCTCCCGCGAGACTCGAACCCAGGATCTATCAGTCTCGCATGTGAGCGCTTAACCACTAGACCACACGATTTTTTTTTATTTCGTTGATTCAAACAATTTATTATTGTTGGTGTACAGGTTTGCTAAAATTCAGTTATGCTTATAATATTGAAGTTTCCTATTATGAATTATGTTAAAGATCTCCTCACTATGATGTGATATCACTTACATCATGAATCATAAAAGTCTCATCTTCATCAACTATTTCTCCAAAGTGTAATAACCTGATGGATTTCCCATTTCATTAACGTGAAATTAAAACCGTAAAATATCATAAATCCCTTGTGGTTTTGATTTATAAAATATTTTAAAACCTGAGTAAAATATAAAGCTCCAACATATGATAATTTATGAATCGTAATAAGCGCATAACTGCTATGAGATTGTCTGTCGACCATGAGTATGCGGATGATACCTTACTGTGTAATAATACTCATGTCATGCAACCCACAACCAAACAATTGGGAATCAGGGTCCGTAGGTACGGCTTTCAACCTTCTATGTACAAAGTACTTTTGAAAAACTGACACGCCCCTGAACCTGCACTCTCTGGCTAGTAAACAGATAGAAGTAGAGAAATTCGTTTATCTAGGTAGCTGTGTAAGTGCGGGTGGCGACAAAAGTGATGAGACCAATTCACGTGCATTGAAAGTCAGAACAGCTTATACCAATCTGGATCATATTTGGCACCCTCATGATCTTAGTCTAGTTGTGAAAGGTTGGGTCTACAATTCGATAGTGGGAGCAGTTTTACTCTATACTTGTGAAACCTTGCTTCTCCAATTCGAGGATGTTCAGCAACTCTGTGCTTGATTGTCGTGGTCTTCCTAGGATTGATGACATTCAGTGACAACACCATGTTGGTAATGAATAATAGGTCAAGGCAAACTGACAATAATCCACTTGTTTTCACCATCTTAAAATACCGAATTTGATTACTTGTACTTGTACTACGAATATCGTCCCAGGGAATTTCACATTGAACATTATTTTCCGACATCGGGACTGGTTGAAAAAAGCGAAGAGCTGGTTGGTGTATGACATATTGTGGAATGAAAGAAAGCTGAACAAGACTAGAATCTGTTGGTCGGAGTCGTAAAGAAGTTCCAACTTAATGACTTGTAACGTATTCAGACATGGCTCAGAATAGAAGCCAATGACAGACCTATCGTAACTTTCTTTTACTTGCTTCATATAAGTGAAAGAAACTTCTTCAACTGAAAGAATCCTTTCTGGTTGTACTTTTCTTAACTAAACTGCTTCTCCCATTAATAATATTATTATTATTATTAACATTCTATCTCCTAAAAACCTCATCTTTATTGTGTGGCGCATACATATGTTGGTGACCTCTTAAACTGACGTTTATATGTTTAAATAAATAAATAATATGAATAATTAGCTATCTATTGTATTCTGAAATAATTGGCATCTATACTCTCTATATTATAACCTGTAAATGTTACAAGTCTTAATCTAGAAATCTCGTACAACAAATAAACGATATAAGCCTATTCACATCGAATCCCCCCAAAACTGAGTTAGTATTCGAACACAACTACTACTAACGAGCAAACCAATAATTAGTGATGACACATTTATGACAGATGAATACAGAAAACTTTTTAACATCATTTAGTAGCTTAAAAAAAAACAGAAAAAAAGAAAACAATCTAACGATGCGAAGAAAAAAACGAGAGAAAAAATATTCTTGAAATAGATGAGTAGTAACAAGAAATAGGCTACACATTACTAAAAGATTCAATAAACAGATATATAAATGACAATAATAATTCGCACAAAAACTGATTACTACCATTGGTTGGTTTATCGGCTTTTCAGAATTTAAAACCACAAAAAAAACAACACTAGTGGAAGTAGTAAAAGTATTACCTTTTGCAGTAATCTCATTCATCTCTGTCTTCATTTACTAATTAATGAATTCTTTATTTTGGGTAATATGCTCTATAGAATCTATCAGCCAGTATTGATATACGTTTTGTATATTGAATATTATTTTTTGTAGCCCATTCTTTAAGTTTAGTTTCATAATCATTTTTTAGATCTTTTGCAATGTTATTATACTCCTAAAAATTGAATAAATATAACAGTATGGAATAGTTAAAACGATATATGTATATGTATAAGATTAACTTGATAGAACATGACTAGTACCAAAATCTAGGACATGCATTTCATCCCAGTTTAGACTCATCAAATAGATGTATCTACCATTTAGTGTCCCAGATCCCTCTGCCAGTTACATTTCATTTATTCTATAAAAACTTATAACATAATGCCAATATCAGAACAATTCGCACAAAAGGAACATATACCAGCTAAGACTGATCGGAATCCAGTTGAAAATATCAACAACGGGATGATTCCAATCATAAAAAATTAAATTAAAGAACTACATACACATTGTCAATCTAATATCCTGACTTATAAAAAAAACAAGCAAAATAGATATTATTCTTAGTTGAATGTTCAGTTTACTAAACAAGCGAATTCACACCGTACATTTATGACAGTAGATTATCAACATAACTTGATAGTTTCATCAACTTTGTCAGGTTAGCGATTGACGAAACCCCGACAAGGAATCAGGAAGTTCGTTTGATAGTGCCAAATTAAATAAACTCTGATGTAGGCGAGGCATCTGTCTAACAACGAAGGGGAAACTATATTGAACAGTAGTTTTCTCTGTTTTACTTTAGGGTTATGAAACATGGCCTATTATAGTGAGATATATTAGTGGATCACTGGTACTTGATTATAGGAATCTTTGAGGGATTATTCATGTATGCTGGTGGAACAAAGTAAACAATATTGAGGTTAAGTGCGGGTTAGTAGACAAAGATCCCAAGTTAATTGGTAAGGTTATGTATCTGTATTAACTGCGGTGGTTGGTCGTACTGCGTAAGCTCGACCATCCCCTACATAGACAGATAATGTTAACTGGAGCAGGAACTGGGTTGGAAGTAAGCTAAGAGGGAAGTCGAGATACTGTATCAATATATAAAGTCCCTGACCGTTGGATTGAGCCATGTAGATAGGTGAAGACAACGTGAATAATTTCCGCGCGATAACCGTGATCAGTGGTTGATGTCGGATGAAAAAATGTAGAGTAAGCAACAGCAGCGCATGAACTTGAATTCATACTTTTTTAGTCCTTCGGATCCTGAGTTTCCAAAATAATTAATACAATTTATTCTGCTAATCCATTCTTTTTCTTAAACCTTATTTTTAATGCCTAATCTTTTTTACTATCACTAATACTACTTTGGTACTCAAAATATTAATCTCATCTCGCTATGTTCATGTGACTTGGAAACAGTCGATGCACATTTGTGCAAGGCTGTACGCTGCTTATGACTGATTGACAGAATAAGATCACCAACAATATTAAGTAATGGTATATGTTAGTTTACTCACAGTAAGCCTTTCCTGTTTCTATGCAAACTATCATTATACATAACTGTAGCGAGTAGCTAGGTATCTCTAACACAGATCCTAACAACCTCAACAAATGAAGATTCACAAACGCATTAACCAACTTTTACACCTTTGTCTAGAAACTTAAGCCTATCTTCTACATCATTCGCTCGATGATTTTACTGGCTGTGAGCAATGCTTCGAAGACACGTAAGATCGAATACTTGAGACTTACACATATCCTAAACTTCCAGAAGCCAAGTTTCATAGCTATAAAATAGAGAACGGATTAGTGGGCTGTATACTCGCCTTTTGATAAGTAGGTGGATATATTGTCCGTACCAAACCTGAACACACTTTGGTATATATCAAGATTTTGCTACACGATGCTCCTCTAAAACTGGTCATTCCCGAAATAATTGGAGTTTTGATATGACTAAACTATTTTACTTCCTATGGTCAAATTACAAAAAGGAAGCAAAACAAAACAGAAACAATGTTTTGGATATCGATGGGCGATTAGAAAACTTCGTACCTGGTTAGTGACTAAACCAGACATAGCTACGTTAGCCATGTATTTCAAGTCAATCAACATCACAATAGGTAGAAGGTGAATTCAGGAAATTAGGAGAAAATATTATCTTTATGAGCACATCTGTTGTAGTGATTTGCTTCTTGTTCTCCTCATTTCAACCTTTCGCTGCCAGGCATTCCACTTTCGATTGGTGCACATACTACTTATGTCTGTCAGTATAAGTAGCATACACCACACAATGATAAAATCAACTGAAAATATGGGAAGTGGGCAGAATTGGCGAGCGCCACTTGATGTAACCAATTCAAATGGGAGTTTGCCTTAAATTCTGACTTGACGGATAGTGGTTTGTATAAAAAGCAGTCAGCTGGCTTATGTACTTCTTTGGTAATCGTTTCAACGACAGACACTACTATAAGAAATCACTTAAGACTTCCCCGAAAAATTCAATATTTATTATGCTACTTTCGGATTCAATTCATAATGCTACACCCCCCAAACAATAAGAAGTCTATCTGAGGTTAATAAGAGTGTGCATAGACACTGATAAAAGTATTTCATGTTAGAAACAAGACAAATGCTTAGTCAATTAACTGGTCACAACAACAAACATTACTAGAACATTACCATTTCAAATACAGAATAACGATGAAAAATACTTCATGCATTAACTTAATTGTCTGCTATGACAAGGAAGGCTTTATAGTTATTTAAACTAAAGAAAAGGATTATGAGAATTCTCATGGTATCAACTTATGACTGCGTGTTACAAGAAAAACTCACAAACACTTTTTTTTACAAAAATATGAATAGCTATACTCCCAGATATTTTTGAATCCAACAGCAAAAATGGTATTATTTATTATCAACATGGTGTATCAGTTGATCGACTTACCAGTTGATCAGATTCAGGCAGCGACATCCATTGTTTTACAGTATCTTTAAAGTCATTTCGCATTTGAGACACTGGTGTACCCTGAAAAAATAAAAAAATAACCATGAATAGATAATCATCTACATAAATCTGACAGTAGTTAAACACTAATAGTCACAGAGATTGGTTGAAGTGGAGAAGTTAACTAAAAAATTTTTAAAAATCAATATCAGTAAGCTATTACCACCAGAATTCTAAAAAAACATGGGTAGTCATTTAGATGGTGCCAATTTACCCTAGTTTGTACACATAATGATACTGTAAAAAAACTTATTCATATTGTGATTAGGTTGAGAAGCATCTTGATCGTTAATAAACCATTCGAACAGTGACTCTTGATACCCATCAAGTAAACGAATGACTACACAATAAGTCACACAGCGATCTCCCGTGATAAATGTTGCATTTGATCGTCATAAGGATCACAGGTGGACACATTAGATACACTATTTTCTTCTGTTCTTATGCGAACCAACAATTATTTAATATGGGAACAATTGATTAGTTAGAAATGACACTGATATGGCAGTATTCACTGACAGATTTACGTGCATAGGAAACAATATTAAGAAATCGGTGCATAAACTTTTAATTATTACACCATAAATCAGTTAGATAAAACTTAGCAGAAGAAACGTTAAATCACTAAGCGAGAAGTGTAGTTAATAAGTAGAACAACCCCAGCCAATTAGTAATACTCAGGAAACCAGTAATGTTAGACAGTATTCTTTATTCGAAAGGTTCACAAGGATGTACCCAAAACCAACAATTCGGAGATAGGCATGAGTAGATTTGAGATTAATCATAGTTGAAAATGGACTCAAATAAAACGTATCTCATTTTTGAAGTACCTACTACAATCACGTAATTATCCACATACCTATATATTCGACTACCAGGAACAGGCAGCTGAAAAGTTTCCCTAAGACCGTTTACAGCACTAGGTCAAGTGTATATGTATGGGAGAAGTTGTCAAACGAATATTATCATGATTTCACTTGAAATATTTAGCCTGCTACTGTAACAGAAGTAAAGACACGTTATAACTTAAGACGGAATTTTCCCAAAGATGAAGAGACCGCGGCAGCATCGTACCAATTTATCTAGGTCCGAACACGTATGCTCTTGGTTTTGTGTGTGGGCTATGATACTGCCCGGGTGCCCAGATCGAAACAGGTGATATTCTTAAGGGACCACACCCGGTCTGATCCACAAGGTAGTGGAACAACGTCTGGAGATGCAGTCCCATGGTAGCCGGTCACCAACGATTGGTTCATACGTCATTTGTTCCTTCAGGATCCTGGAGCCCATGTGCACCATTGGTTTGAAATCAGGGTTTTTTAACTCCCCTAGGTGGATCCTCCATATCCACCAACCCGGCTAAAGCACTAGACATTCGCTTTTCATCCTCTCAATTTCGTAAACACCGCTGCCACAAGGCAGTGAGTAGGACTTTCCTGGCAGTGGCTATATACGCGTGACCATGTGAAGGCATTTCGAGAGGGAACCCTCTCCGACCTCGGCCGTACCAGCGCATTTGGGGGCCCAGACTTACAAATTCAAGCAAATTTAAAATAGTCTTTCACATACTTCAAATTTACTTCGTCTTTAAATCGACATCGATAAAAAAGCCGTAAGCCTCGGTGACCTGAAAATTATGTACTCATAATAAGCCTGATAAACTTTAACTTGAAGCAAGCAGCCAAGAAGTAGGAATTAAACGAATAAATGTTTACAGAATTTACCGCAAACAATAACTGAAAACATTCAAAATCTAGTACGTAGATCTACTTATAGAGTTCATACGAGTTACCTAAAGCGTACTTTGTTGAAACTTATAATAAAAGCAGATTCTATCAATTTTTGTTAAATAAAACGCTTTCACTTACAATACACAACATAGTATATTTCATTTCAAATGTCCAGAGCAAAATAAAAACAAGCTACTATTGACCAACAGTAAAAACGTATTTTTTTATACTCATACAATCATAAAGGCCTTTATCACTCAATTCCAAATTCAGATACATGCTTTTAGACTACAAGATTAAAAGATGAATTTGGTGTTCATCTTGTTGTGTTAATGAGGTGTGGCAACTTGGACCGATGCATATATGTGCCTGGTCCTACGTTGCAGTTGACTGACTGATTGACAAGAACCTAAATGTTACAATATACACAGGATTTTTAATCTCGATGAAATGGTTTCATCTAAATAATAACGGTGACTTACCTTAGAATCCTTTAGTTTTTCTCTCATAAAAACTTTGAGTCCAGAGTTTGGTGGACTTTTTGGCATTCCATTACGATAAGCAAACTAAAATTGTCACAGTGAAAAATTATTTCATAACATATAGCAATAAAAATACTCCATAAGAAAATTGAAATGAAAAAGAGCAGTGTACAGGTATTGAATGAAATTAAGAAACAAAATACCATGTTCGTGATTGGATTTTAACTAGTGATATAGTTATTTCCAATCTTCGGTTTAGTTATCCATGGATAGAGAAATCAATCTACTGATTGAAACGATGCTAGATAATATTTTTTAAGGCTTCATACATCATGCTACTAATAGAAAATAGTGATTATCAACGAAATTGGAAAACATTTTAGTGTCACACTGAAATGTGAATGTACAATAAACGAGAAATATGAGTTACTGATAAACGTAGAGTGATAACTAATACAGACATTCCGCTAGTTTAAATACCAATTTTAGTTACACTAGAATCGCTAGTAGTAGACTACCCAGTATTTTATATGGTTCAAATTAGTAATCAGATTAGTATACCAAACCAAACTCCTGAAGTTTAACTTTTTTGGAATAAGTAAAGAATACAAAATCACTTTATATATGATAAGATACATGTGGTATTTAATAGCAAGAGCGAATTCATTTAAGTTTCAGTTTGCCGTTACTATTCTGATTTCTGAAAAGTATTAATTATATCACAGTAATTTCAAAGGATGAATCTAATGTTCATGTTAGAGAGACACTGAATATCTTAAAGCCGAATTCCCATTGAGAAACAAATATCAAGAATTCAAATAAAAACTTCACATACTGTGCACAAGGGTATACTTACTACTGTTTCATACCAATGTTGTTTCACTAACCGATGATATTCGAAGCGTTTGGTATAGTCATATTGCGACTGTGAGATAATATGACAAACCATCGGTAAACATACTTGCTATATGAGTTTTTCTAGGAAAGAAAACTGTTTTAAGTTTACAGTATATATCTCAACAACACTACAAACACCGACAACTATTCCCCGCAACAAGAACAGAGCGACGTCACCATTTACATCCTTAAAACCAACGGTAAGAAAAATATTAAATTCTTTCAGAAAACAAATCAACAAGTGATAAATCAAGAGAATAAACAGACAAAAATATAACCTTGGTCGCTTTTTTGACATGAGATTGATGTTCTTTCGCTTCTAATTTTAACTTTTCTACCTCTTCAACTGGAAGTGATTTGTACAACTGTGCTAACTTTCTGATCACATCATAATTTGATAGCTCCGGTTTTGCGGACTTGACCTCATGATATCTCGAGTGAATAAAATTTGTAAACGCGTTACTGTTGTTATGAGCTGAAGTTGATGTTATCTGTCGCAAAATTACAAAGAAATTGCTACACAATGAAAAGAAATTTGGCTTACTTGATTGAAAACGGAGAAAGCTGCATGTAATTGGAGCGAAAATAACTTTGAGTAGCAGGTTTAATGCTGTAACAAGAATTCAGAGACTGGATTTGAAGACTAAAATTAGAAGGTTCTGTCAATTCACAAACCGATATGTAGTCATCCCAAATAAGCCCAAAATCCACTGAACTACATGCACCAAAGGCGGAAGGAGCGACTTCAAAGAGGTCTGTAAAAAATAACAACCCAGGAAAGGTTTCTCCTGTGCCCTGCACTCCAAGTGGGAACAGTCAGGAGACACCTAGAAAACCTAATCCGTAAAGCTAGGTCCGTTTCCAGCACAGAAAACAACCTGGTCACCTAAGTCATCGACAATCATTGAGGATCTCACAGTATGTTTAACACAACTGTGATTGTAACTCTAGTGAAAGCTGATGAATGGATACAAATCAAGAATAAGAGACGACCTAATATTGATAAAAAGACAGTCTCCTGAACAGTAGTTGAGAAATCAAAGGCTGATCACAGTGACAAGGCAGTCATCTTTGAGAGTCAAGGAGAGTGAAACCTTTGAACCTAGAAACTGCTTTGAGCATGACATTGAGTTGATAAAAAGTCTAATTAACCAACTAGTGTATGAAGATATCTCTGGGGCCGCCTTACTGAAAGTTTATAAACTAGGTAGCCAAGCAGACTTGAAAGGAAATCAAACTAGGCTGTTGAAATTAGCATTTCAATACCAATGAAAGACAGTCAGTCAGCTACAACGTAGGACCAGGAACATATGTGCATCGGTCCAGGTTGCCATACCGCATCAGCACAACAAGATGAACACCGTATTCATAGCAGTGGTTAGGTCAAAGGTGGTAATATATAAGAGAAAGATTGCATATAGAGATATAGTACAAGAAGAAAGAATTGGTTCGTAGAAAGAAAGATATGAAGTGATTTTAATCTCTTAGTTTAAGGGAAGACAGGGAGTATATACACCGACGCGATTGTGATCGATTTTGAGCCATGTCACCAAGAGTCTCTAACCATTGGTTACGATAGTCACGCGGACCCCAACCAAGTAGTCTGCATCTACCAATGAAAGGGACACGGAGAGTCCACCTAGAGGAGTTGGAAAACCCTGATTTCAAACCAATGGTGTACATGGGCTCCAGGATCCTGAAGGAACAAATGGCGTATGAACCAATCGTTGGTGACCCGCTACCATGGGACTGAATCTCCAGACGTTGCTCCACTACCTTGTGGATCAGACCTTTAGGTCAAAGGCTCAGGGTGTGGTCCCCTAAGAAAACCACCTGCTTCGATTTGGGTGTGCAGATAGTATCCCAGCCCTCACACAAATCGTATGGTTTATGTGGGGCATATCTACTTGGTGCCTCGTACCAATGTTTGTGTTTAAATAAATAAGTACAGAGAGACTATCGTTTCGGGTGTAATCCCCGTTACACGGTGAGAGAGCTCCATTTACTCTACAGGAATACTTCGATCTTTTGCTGCAGCCCAATCTTCTCTTACAATGAGCAGATTTGTCGAGCATGATAGGCCTTTTAAAAAAACCGTGTTATTCCCTGGATAAAATATTATGTCCTTCCGTATAGTTTATAACAGCCATCCATTAGTTTTACAACTGCACTGGTTAGACTAACGGGACGATAGTTACTAAGTCTCTGCTCCCTAATGTACAATCTTTGGTCCTCTTTTTTTTTAATTTTATGTAAATGAATTACTAACTGTAACAAAGTCAACCGTCCTACTCTTCGCCGATGACAAAGATTTGGAGACCCATAAACAGTATGTCAGATAGGAGAGTAATACAGGATGATCTCAATTCATTGTTGGAAGGGTGGGTGGCCACTAGAAGTAAGTTCTGTGGTGATGCAACTAAATAACTACGATTATTCATATCAGTACACAATACATAGAGTTGTGTTGCCCAAAGTAATGGACTATACAAATTTAGGAGTTATAATAAGCAGCGACCTCAAAACTACAAGCAACTGCAAGGCTACTGTTGCCAAAGGCTTTAGGGTATCATGGGCTATTCGCAGGTCGTTTCAGTACTTGGAAGAAGAAATCTACAGAGTATTATACGCCACTTTCGTGAGATCCCATTCGGAATATGGGATTCAAACGGGAAGTTTAGTCCTAACGTGATTTGCATTCCTCAAACATTTGCTGTGTTCTTACGCAACAAAAGTACCATTTCTGATCCAAAGAATCTATTCTAAGCTATATGTTCTGTAGATTACTTTTGTTCGAGTTTCACTCAATTTAATAGTTAACTGTGGTTTTGCCTCAGCTTACCGTTCAGTTTTCCTTTCAGTTTTTCACGTAAAGACTAGGTCAGTTTATCACATCCGTTTTTATCTATTTTTGCCCGTTTTTAGTGCATTTTTTAACGGTCTTAAGGTTTCTCTAGCATCTATAATACAGTTTACGTAAATATAGTCATTAAAAATTCATGCAAACGACCTGGATGCCGTCTCGTTGTTACATCTGGCATGCAGTGCGATAACTGCAAAGGTTGTTTCCATGGAGCGTGCGCCGATCTCACAACAACTGCTTACAACAGACTCAGCAAGTCGGATCATAAGTGGGTATGTGTTACGGGCTCAGTACTAAAGCCTCTTCTTGATTTATATGAATGACCTTCCACAACAGGTATCGTCACATTACTTTTTGCTGATGACGTGAAAATTTGGAGAGAGACACGCAGCCAAGAGGATATACAGGCACTCCAGGAGGATCTGACTTCACTTCAAAGTTTGGCAGACGATAACGGACTTACCTTTAACACTTCAAAGTGTAAAGTAGTCCATCTACGACATGTTGCAGACTACAGTTACAATTTAAGAAACTCCTCTCTAGTATCCCGAGTCGAAGAAGATTTAGGAGTCCCAGTACCCTACGATTTAAAGTCCTACGATAACTGTGACAGAAATGCCTTTCGAACAAACCTTGCACTGATAACATTGAAGCGCATTCTTGGCCAGTTTGACGGAAAAACTTTCCACATAATCTCCAGCAGTTTTATTCATCCCCATTTAGAGTACGGAAACAGTATTTCCACTCACCCAACGGCAAGCCACGAAATCAATCCGGGGACTCAAATTCAAACCTTATGGAGAGCGCCTCCAATCACTTAACCTTTACCTAATAGAGTATATGCGTCTTAGAGGCGACCTTCTAATGGCTTACAGTATCCTTGACACTTCTGGACATCCGCTTAAACATCTACCTAAGCTTGGTCTCAATACAAACCTAAAGGCTAACGCTCAGAAATTGGAGGTACAACATAGCAGAACGGACTGTAAACACAATTTCTACTCCTTAAGAGTCATCAAATTCTGGAATTAGCTGCCAGCTGATCTAGTCCAAGTAACTCCTCAGGAGTCCTTTAAGGGAAAACTTGACCTATTCTTAAGGACTAAGGATAACATCTTATTATGATTTACCAATTTCCTTTTTTTCCTCTACTATCGTTAATATACCTGGGCTCCTGTCTGGAGGTTTTGGTGATCCACTGCTACTAGACATGGAAGCCCGTTAAGTGAAAGCTTCTTCTATTCCGTCCACAACCATTCGAAGCAGCGAGCCCTTGTTTCAAGCATGAGGCGGATATGCTCCAACGAGTCCAACGGCGAGAGACTGAAATGGTCTTTCCGGTCTATCCCAGTCTCCCTATTTCGGGGAAAATTTTGTCCATTTCGGGTAAATTTTGGGAAAAGTGTAGTAGGAAACTTTGATGAAATGGCCCACAAACTCCGATCGAAATTTCCCCAGAATCGTACAACACTTTGAGGTTTTTCCCAAAACTTTGTGGAAACCTACCTAACTTTTCACGAATTAGGGAAAAAAACCAAAATAGTGATTTGAATTAGAAGACTCAGAGCTCATGCAGTGTTACAAACGAGGCTTGGAGAGGAAGATTTCCTTCTGCTCAGATATATCATAAAAAATTTACAACACGCAGCCAATTACTAAGAAAATAAGTGACTTAGAGGCATTATGTGAAATAACGACAACAACACACCCTTTCGTACCAATCAATTAAATGACCTACACAGAACCAATCATCGACTTTGTAGGACAAACAAAGTAACGACAAAAAAGACTTCGCGCACTATTTTTGTAAGCAGTATTCATGGTACTATGATGATTACAATTCTCTTTCAAGACGTAAATTAACGTAAATTCATAAGTTTTTTATCGTTGTAAATGTTTCGTCAACTATATACATGGCAAAGTTGTACTTCTTTCATCACCTTCCACAGCCGAATCGATTTGTGGCAGTTAACAAATCTTCAAAATCAATAGTCCTGTAAGTCTTCGACATTGGATACTGGCCACATTAGTCTTACTGGGCTCACCTAGCTGAAGGCGCTCGGTCATGCATCCGCACCAGATCACGAGTGGGAACGCCCTGCTCATACCCACAGAGTGTAATCAAAAGACAGAAGCGAGGAGGTTAGAAGATATATTTGATAGACTATCAAGATATCGTGGATCGACTGATCGAATCTGGCAAGCGATTGCAGTAGATGTTGAACACGGCGTTCCCACTCGTGATCTGGTACGGATGCATGACCGAGCGCCCTTCAGCTAGGTGAGCCCAGTAAGACTAATGTGGCCAGTATCCAATGTCGAAAATTTACAAAGCTGTTTATTTTGGGGATTTATTTACCGCTACAGATCACTCCCCCCTAGTGAGGTAGTGATGACCCTAAGACGTGGCCAGCCAGAAGTTTAAACCCAAAGAGTTTTGTCGTTGGTAAACACTCTTCTGATAGCTTGCTAGGTTTAGCAACGTCTGGTCGTCTTTCCTTACTATTAGGGACCATGGAATACAATATAGTAAAAAAATAATGTACAATGAAAGTTTTTGGTTCCTCGTAAACATAATCGTTCTTTTTATCGTCTTGCCCAGCCGTCCTGGAAAAGAAAAAATGAATATGTAAGTGCATGTCGAAATAAACTCGTACGCGCTTTAAGACACAAACTGGGCGAAAAAGTGTAAATAACGTAAAAGCGATTTTTACGGAATGTGTTTTTTTGTTTTTTGTTGTTTTTAAAAATCTTTTTAATATACGTATTAGCCAAATGATATATATAATGCCATGGAAAATTAAGATGGACCAAAATGTCAACTAGTGTCTTACGTGCAATAGTCATTTAAATGTTTTGAAAATCTTACTCTTCTTCCAGAACGCGATGTTTTAAGTTTACTTTCAGATACTGTCAAAGTATCATCGTGCGTGTTGGTTGTCGGATCAGGTATTATAAGTGTCTGAGTCGTGTCGTTCGATTGTACCGGAGGAAAATCGACGCTAGCATGTTATAGGTTGTTTTAGTAGAATAGCCAATCCAGCATAATATTGGAAACGTGAGTCTGAGTGGTGAGCGTAGGAAAACAATCTATATCACAGATTGATTGAATTATTCTCAATCATAAAGAGCCTGATGATCAGTGAGTTTGGAGCTATTATCGTCTTTCACTTGTGTCAGTAATACTTTCTGCACTGCAGTTAATTTCAGCTTCTCCTCAATGATAAATTTTTTGTCTTATTTTCTACTAACTCAGTCCCATCTGTCGTACTTCTTGTTCGGTTCGTGAGTTTGGCGAAACTCGAATCAGCGTTGAATGAATTACGGAGCATAAGAGATACATATTCTTATGTGTTTTAGACTACTCACACCCACCATATACATGAAAGAATTTGCTCGTTAAAGGAAAGTAAACTCAACTATACTTTCGTTATTTTCAAGTGAACGTTCGGCCGAAAATGTAAACTACAAGGTTTAGAGATAACCAATAAACAGTGGTGACTGTAAATGCAAAGTGACATTTCACGTCTAAGTTTCTGAATTTTTGGTCACTGTTCCGTGTAACTCTGCAGCAGAATGAGCATATGATAAAATCGTGGTGGGTGATACATGATCATCGTTGTGAAAGTTTGTCGATGATTTTTGGTCGGGTAACGAGGGGATCAGCTTCAAAGGATAAGAGAAATGTGAGGCCAGTACTGATCCAATCACCATCCTTAGATCAGGTTGTCGAACGTATTACAGAAGAGACTGGTCATGAAGTCACTAAGATTACTTTAAAGACAGTGAAAACGTAGAGGTGCTGGTTCCTGAACACACGATTCTCGGAGCTGAACATATATGTACCTAGATGAATGACATTCGACATGTTGTGCTACATCGTAATTGTTACAGGAGAACTGAACGCACTTGGCGGATTAAAACCTTTCTATTGTATATTAATAATTTACTGTGTTTCTGGGTGTATTTGTTTTACTTAACCTACGAACTTGTTTGCATGTATCACTACCGAGGTTTGATTTGATAATTTTAAATAAATTGAGCATTGCAACGCTCCTGCACTCAACCCTGAAGACATTTTCTTAGCTCACGTTCAGCCCCCACCAGATTTGATCTATTATCACTGTATATCTCTTTTGGATAGCCTCTCCTGCTGATAAACCTCATCAATGCCATGATAAATGAGTCTCTGGTAAAACTATATGCAACTTCCAGATGCACAGCTCTCAACCTTAAACAAGTGAATACACAACCATATCGCTTTTCTGTACTTCTACCATGTTTAACCATAATGGGTCCAAAATAAACTACCCCAACTGATAAGAATGGTTAGTCACCACCCTCTATTCTGATCGAAGGTAATGTTGCCATTAGTTGTTGAGTGTGACGGACGTCCCTCCTTTTACAATCAACACGATCCTTTACCACCCTCCTCATGGCTACACCACCCCTCAGCACTCAAAATCTTTCTCGGACCGCTGCCATTACCTGTGTAGTTCTGTAGAATTATGGTCCAACATGTCTCTCCGAAATATGGTAATACTGTAGAATCAAATTTGTAATTGTATGCTTCCATGGTAATATTATAGGATGCTTCCTCGACTCGGGCCAGGAACTAATTTGAAGTTGGCCACCGACATATAATAATCCGTTTATCATCATTGGATTTAAGATTCGTAACGGTGAATTTGTTATTTTCACCTTGCTAATGGTATCAGACGACAACATTTCAATCTCTTTCCGAAATACTATGCGTTGGACATATCGAATAGAATCTAAACAAGCTACATTTAACTTATCAACTTTGAGCATACCCACTTGTAGAGACAGATCGGTTCTACCAGAACCCATTATCAATAAATATCGCTTAAATCGGGTTAACTATTCAACAGCCTTAAGTAATCTTGTCCAATCTGAATAATAATTAATAAGTAGATCGACAGTGGATTCTTCAACCATTACATGCGTGGACATTGCTTTCTTTTGTCCCAAGAGATGGGGTTCAGGACCTTGTATATGAGCAGCAGGCCAACACTCCTTCGGCTTCTTGAAAAAACATGGACCCTCCTCAAGTACCTTGACATCACTGATGTTGTGCTTGACTCCTCTGGATGCAAAGTCTGCTATGTTTTCTTTAGAAGGTATGAATCTCCATTGTTCCACCTTAGTAAGACTGTGAATAGTCAAAATCCGGTTCCCTATGAATGTTTTAAACTGGCTTTTTTCATTTCTAATAAAATGTAAGACAATCATAGAATCCGTCCAAAATGTAACGTCCGCAAACTTAATATCTAACTCGATCTGCGGCTGGCACCCCATGCGAGCTGTTAACACTGCTGCCGCAAGTTCCAAGCGCGGTATAGATTGAACCTTCAAGAGGATTACTCTTGCCTTAGCCGTAATATGACGAAAACATGTTTCAGTGTCATGGATGTAAGAGCGGACGTATGACACTGCACTATATCCAGTTTTCCAGACATCACTGAGAATGTGAAGTTCCAGTAGCGAGCGGTCTGATTGCGGAAGCAATACACAACGTGGAAAACTAACGTTCTCAACACCCTGAAATTTACTTAAAATCTCTAACCAGCGTTTGCTTTACTCATTTGGAATCTCTTCGTTCCATCCTAGTCCCGATTTACCTAAACGTTGAAGTAACTGCTTCATGGGAAGTATAAAGGGTGCTTACAATACCAAGGGATCGTAAAGTGAGTCTACACTCGACAATACACCTCGCCTAGTGATGGGGCGTTTTGGTATGCGAACTTTAAATTCAAACGGATCAACCATAGTATTCCAAAATAATCCCAATGTGCGTTCCGTAGGAAGTCTTTCAAAGTCAGTCTCTCTTACGGCTTCTGCTCTCTCTTCTGGATGAATTGATTTGAGAACTTGTAAACAGTTACTTATCCACTTGGCAAGTCTGAACCCACCTTTTCTGAGGAGTAAACCAAGGGTTTTTGCCAGCTCAAATGCATCCAGCACATTATCAATGAAGGCTAAATAGTCGTCGACATAGAAGCTCTTATCTACGACTTCCTGGACATCCTTATTAAATTCCTTATCGAATGTATCTACCGACTTCTTAAGAGCGGAATCAGCGCAAAAAGGGGAGGACACGGCTTCAAACGGATGAACTGTTAAACAATATTCCTTAGGCTTCCCACAACAATAGACGAAACGCTCCCCTATCTTGTCTCGGGATCTCTACTTGGAGAAACATCTCTTCGACATCAGCGGCTAATGCTACGTTACCTAGTCTGAACCGTAGAAGTACACCAATTAAACTATTTACAGTATTTGATCCTCTCAAACGCCGATCATTAAGAGAACGACCTTGATAGACAGCTGCACAATCAAAAACAATTCTCAGTTTTCCAAGCTGTTTAGGGTTGATAACGGGATGATGAGGAATATACGAACACACAACATCATGGTCAAGTCCCTCCTTACTAGCTTTAATGATGTAGCCCTTACTTAGATGCTTATTCATCACAGCGTGATATTTCTCCAGAAGACTATTATCTTTCATAAACCTCTTCCTTAAACACTCTAGTCTGCGTTCAGCTAGTTCCAAATTATTCGGTGGACTTGGCCTATCATACTTTCACGGTAGACCGACTTGGAAATGGCCACCTTCAAGTTTAAAGGAACTACTAACTATTTCTAGAGCTCTTTTATGTTCTACAGAATGTCCATTACGAAACATATCTGCATCCTCGAACTCATGATTATATAATCTTTCTATATCTCACAAAATATCATTAGTGGAACAACTA